CCCCCCCCCCCCCCCCCCCCCCCCCCCCCCCCCCTTCTTTTTTTTTTTTTTTTTTTTTTTTTTTTTTTTGTACCTACGACTCGATTATCTGCTACTTTTAATGATCCAGTGAATAGGCTATCTCGCTCACACATTACTAACATTGATGTTTATGTATAATGGTATAATATTTGTAACATTTTATTGATGTTTATGTATAATGGTATAATATTTGTAACATTTTATTGATGTTTATGTATAATGGTATAATATTTGTAATTTTATATTTTCTACGTTGCTTTATAAATAAATAAATACTAAATTTTATTTAAGTTTTATTTTATTTGCATAGTGGTTTGTTAGTGAACAAGTGTGGCTGACTCATTCGTGTCTTACGGCTTCCAAAATGAGAAATTTCCAGCACTCCCTGTTCTGTGTCATCTCCCACCAATTACTGGCTTACAGCTGCAGCAGGTTTTCCTCCACTCTGTTGATCCAGCGGTACCTAGGCCGACCTACTGGTGCCCGACTACAAGGCCTGGCCAGGGCAGCTTCCTTCACCGTTCTTGGTTCTTGCGCTCAAATTGATCACGTTATATTTTTCTATATATCTCACAGATAACATATGAAATGTGTATATGAATTGGTAATATAGAACATTGTATTTATAAAACAGTGATTAAGTATTAAGATGCAAGACTTGGTTTAAAAGACTTAACCAGATCAAAACTAAAAGCGTTTACTTAGAAAGAAAGAAAGTACATTGGTGCACAGGCGGGAATCGAACCTACGACCTCAGGTATAAGAGTCGCACGCTGAAGCCACTAGGCCAACACTGCTCATACCGAAGTTACCAACACTAATTTCAACACACACACAGTGTGTTAAAACACCTCGGTCAAGCCTCCGTGGAGTGTAGGTTTGTGTGCGTTTATGTGCGTAAATCATCGACAATACGAATATTGAAATACAACACAGGAATCATTGTAGTGCTAATATTATTTCTTGGTTAATGAAAGTATTATTCAAGAGTGTAACGTTTAGTGTTCAATTATAGTAACTTAAATATATCCTTAGTGTTGGCCTAGGTCTCATCCCAGGTCGTAGGAACCCCGGCGTGCACCAATGGACTTTCTATGTGCGCAATTTAACATTCGATCAGTAAAGGAAAACATCGTGAGGAAACCGGCTTGCCTAAGATCTAAAATATCGGCGTGTGCCAGACACAGGCAGTTGATCACCTACTTGCCCATTAGATTGATAAATGATCATGGAAAGACAGAAATCCAAAGACCTAAAAATGAGTGAAAATCTAAAACGGAAGTGATTTCATAACATGTCACTGGTCAACTAAAGTTGACCAATTAAAATCCAATCAAATTAATTTAGCCGTAACATTTAGTTAATGTAGTATCCAAATATGAAAAAAAGTTTTGGATTTATTTCAAATCCGACATTATTCTACGATCATGACGGCATGTAAAGTAGTTTTTCAACATACTTTTTATGTTAGTTAACGTTAGGCTATCAAATAACTGAATGGGTAGTCCATTTATTAGTCACGGTAGCAAATATCTCAACGTCCTCTCGCCATATATATTGTTTGCTAAGTAGAGTAAATCTTGGCCTCCGACAATAACAGATTTGCGACGCGATTTTTGCGAAAAATATAAACCTTTTATGTGTTGCATAGTACCATTCATTATACGAAGTACGAATAAACTTCTCGGTAGTTACAAGTTGGTCAAACAAGGATCCAATAAAAGACAAGTACCATTTGTTTTATCTCCGAATATCGCGATACAAGGCAACATGCTGCTTCTATGGTTCATCATTTCATTCGGAATTGGTAAGTAACTTTCTTACGATCTTCCTATGAATATAAGACGTTACATCATTGAAGTTGGTCTGTAAACGCGTAATGTCAATAATAATTAAACTGTTGTGTTATCAACTAGTTGTGCAAATATTATATAATTTAGTAATAATATTATGGCGAGGTGTCGGGGAGTGGCGATCCCGAGTTCCCGAGTATCCAAGTAGAACGCCTTTCCTCACCTCCGACTTGCCTTATTTGAGCGGTCGGAGAGTGACTTTTTGGAAGTGAAACTTCTTTAGGCGCATTAGGGTAAATTTTTTTGTGCAGCGTTTTTGTTGAAAGGGAGAGAGCGATTAGAGACCGATTGACAGGGAGTGAGAAGGGCGAATGACCTTATAGAAATTCTTATTGAAATAAAATGACGAAAAAAAAATTTAAATCTCAAATGATGAATTGTAAATTAAAATACCACGTGTTTTTATTATCGAAAAATAAATTTAAAAAATAAATTTATTATATTTTGTATTAATTTTCGACACTTCATATTTTAATGACAATTAAATTCATTACATTCCTAACATATCTTCCTTTTTTCCCTCCCTTTAAGTCTCGGAAATCTAAAGTTTTAGATTTGTATAAATATGAACAAGACTTAATTTTTAAGTCTTGTTCATATTTACCAAAGAAGTTTCACTTCTGTCATGTGTACTTTGTACGCACGTTTTAGTGGGTACGTTGCCGGCCTTTGAGGTAGGTATACTCTTACTTTGAACAGTTTGATTAAAAAAAATGTAAATACTGTATAATAATAATTAAAATTAAAAAATAAAAATTTAAAAAGTTTACTCCCTGTCGCCTATGCCGTGTAGTGCCTTTAACGCTGGCAGCATTTTCTCACTCTCTTGCGATACTTATTAGTAAATCATTAAAATAATTATTACTAATTTATATTATTATTATTATATATATATATATTTCATTTATTATATATATATATACATATAATATCTTAAAATTCGTTCTTCATTTACATTTAGAGCAACATTTTTTTTTCTTTTCGCCCATGGCGCTGTCTTCCTTTTAGTTTGTCTTTCGAACATACCGCCTAAGAAAAATAATAAATTCAAATAACTTTTCTGCAAATATTCTGTAGTTCATAACGGTAAATTGTCAACACAGACTAAAAATACTACGACCACGATCGACTCCGTTATCAATTATCTATGATTTTCTTTTTACAGGGTTGCACTTATGTTTGGAAATCTCGTATCCTTGTAATGATAATGAGTTGGAAGAAAAGTTTGGCTGCGACAGAATCTGTTCAGCTCGAAGCGAACCTTGTACTATCATTGCAAGCGATGATTCGAATAAATGTTTTTGTGCTTTGGGATTTTTCAGAGACCACAATGGAAAGTGTGTGCTTGCCAGCGATTGTTCTCAATCTGGTCTGTTTTCACACTTTATATTACGTACATTGTTGTTGGCCAAGAGGCTTCAGAGTGCGACTCTCATCCCTTTCGTAAGTTTGATACCCGGCACCAATGGACTTTCTGTCTAAAAATCTCAAAGAATATCTTGTCAACCTGGACACCTGGACAGGTTAAAAAAAATCTGTGGCACTACAATCTTATTTTAAGGTCTAGGCCTCATGATCATTTGTCAATCTAATAGGCAAGTAGGTTATCATCGTCTTGTGCCTGACACACGTCGGATTTTTGGGTCTAAAGCAAGCCGGTTTCCTCACGATGTTTTCCTTCACCGTTCGAGCGAATCTTAAATGCACTTAGTAAGAAAGTCCATTGGTGCACAGCCGGGGATCAAACCTACGACCTCAGCGATGCGAGTTGCACCCTAAAGCCAAAACCAACACTTCTCAAAACAAAACAAAAGTGTATACAGTTACAAAAACATTTTTGAATAACAAAGTTAATAACCGAATCGAACTTCAATATATCCCTCTTCCGTCAATTTACAATAACCTTTAAATCCCAGATACCACAACCACCACGCATTATTTAATGAAATGTGGTTTACACCAAACATATAAAACATGTGAGCCCTGTGAGAAAACATGTGTGGAGCCCAACCCAGTGTGTAAAAGGATTTGTGTGGATTCAAACTCTAGCTGTGAGCCAGCTTGTATGACCGGATGCTTTTGTGAAGATGGGTATTTTAAAGCCCCCGATGGGCGATGCGTTCTTCTAGGTGACTGTCCTAAAGGTGGGTGAATATAAAAATTATATAAAACACAAATTCTACTCTTATTATGTTTATTGGTGGTGACTGGTCGGACTTGAATCCGTGTATACGGTGATGTTATTTCGACTATGTATTTGCGTGTTGTTCCTACGAGAATGTTAGTGCGCGCTCCTTTTCCACTATGCCTATTGCTGACAAAGCTATGTTTCTTTTTCGTTTATATATTTTATATTATTATAGTTAATTACTTAACGATGGAACATGGTGTAATTGTTGCAGCTCCTTACAAACATTGTGTAAAACAAAATACTTAGCTATTAAAAAGAGTGGCTCCTCGTCCGTTCTACCCTTGATTTGAGAACTGGCAGTAAATGTGAAAATAGAAGATTAAAAATCATCAGGTAAGCTGGTATATTTACTTATTTTTGCAGCGGAAATAATGAGTGTCGCCAACGAGCCCTCAATCGAAGAGTGTCAGCAAGATGAGGTGTTTGTATGGTGTGGGTGGTGTGAAGCGACATGTTCGCAACCCAGCCCTGACTGTCCACCAGACGTGTGCACGCGAGGGTGCCTCTGTCGTCCACCGCTATTGCGGCACAGGAGTGGACACTGCGTGGAAAAGAGGGACTGCTTCGGACGTAAGTACATCATTTAATAATGCCTAAATACAAGCCTTATTTTAGTGAGGAGGTCATAGATAAATAAAAAAGAAAAGTAGAAAAAATACATCATGAGATGAGATGATCCGAGGCAATAATACAAAGATGGCTAGCACCTATAAATCACATGACAAGAGGAAAAGACAAATGGAGTAAAATTGTGACACGATGGTGCCCTAGGGAAGGCAAAAGGAGTAGAGGAAGACTACCAAAAAGATGGGAAGATGACCTCAGACAAGTAGTAGGAGTGATGTGGAACAGAGTGGACCAAGGAAGACCTGAATGGAATAGGTTGGAGGAGGCCTTTGACGACTGGCTAACAGATCTGCAGAAATCAAGCAAGATTCAAATAGTTAATAAAATATAATGAACTATGGTTATGTGTGTACCAAAGTCGATCTGAATTAAAAGGCTATATTATTATTATTATTTAGCGCCTATAAATCACACTCAATAATAATACTGACAAGAAAAGAGTGCTAGAGCAGAAGGCTCACTCCATAATAACCTTCTATAAAATTTTTATATTATGAAAAAATTTTGCAAAAAAAAGTTGACCTTCCTAGTTCCTATGACTATTCTGTGGTTCCTTAAGTAAAACTTTAGTTCTATCTATTATCCTGGCAACTCAGGGGGCTTAGAAAAGATGCCTTAACAGTAGTGTATGCAGAATAGAAAGTCGAAAACTAAACTAAAAATTTGTAAGAAAATTTACAAAAAAACCCTACCGTTAAGGCATCTTGACTAAACCCCCAGGGCCTTCTGATACATTATGTGTTTATATATTTTATATATTTTCCAGACACATGCCATGATCGTAACGAAGAGTATGTTTGTCGGTATGGCTGCGAACCAAGTTGCGAGCGCCGAGCGTGCTTCCGACAACGTCGCTGTTCCTTGGGATGTCATTGCAAATTTGGACTATTAAGAGATAGAGATGGAAAATGTGTAACAGCCGATAAATGTGAAATAAATATTACTATGAATAATACTACTAATACTCCGCCTTTCGTATAAATGTATAAAATTATAAAATGTATTTAATATATCGAATAATTGTTCAACATGTGTTTTTAATTTAGTTTATCTACCTCTGCCAACAATGTCGCAGTTAGTCAAATGATAATAAAATTATGTCAAAGTATTTGATGTAGCTAACGTAAGGCGAGACTTAATACAGATTACGGTATCCCTTAGGTAAAAATTTGGCTATGTTACGGGGCGAGGTGCCCGAAAATCTACTGCGCAACTAATGTCGACAACTATAGGTTTTCCAAATCACACTGATTATTTTTCCGACCCAAATATCGACCAATAGAATTGCACCATTCGACGTCACGTGGTACAACCTACATGGTATTATACTGATAATTTTTTGAAAATTTTCTCTGGTAGTTGCTTCAAGAAAAGTATTAAGTACCTAGTTGTTTTATTCATTATGAAATTCTTATTTGTTAACTGTACATTTCGTCTCATGGTGCAATTCTATTGGCCGACATTTGGGTCGGAAAAATAATCCCCCGAATACCACACGAGCTTCAAAATTATCTGGCATTTCCCTCAAGGTTCCCTGCAACAAATAAAGTCGTCAAGTTTTTCAGGTTAAAAAATTTGATGAGTGATTTTTTAACCTGAAAAACTTGACTCATTCATTTGTTTGCAACGAACCTATCGGGAAATACCCGATAATTTTGAAGCTCTTGTGCAGTGGCGGATTTACCAGCAGGCTGAGTAGGCTGGAGCCTAGGGCGGCAAATTTTAAGGGGCGGCAAATTTAGAGAGATCTTATAGAGATCATATTAATAAAATAACTGATAGTTGAACGACTGTGACTTGACAATACAGTAGATTTGATAACTTTTTCGCAAAGCCAACTTTTTCAGAAAATGCAAATCGGAATGAATTAATTATAATAAGATAAAACAATACTCAGCTGCAATTTTTTATTCCACGGCTTCTCTCCAGTTAAACAAGTAGGTATATTTAAAAAAAATTGAAGTGAAAAAAATATTTTTTCGAAAGTTATCGTGTTTACTGTGAACACGATCATCCAAAATCCATACGATATGGCATTAAAATTACTTCCTTTTAAATAAAAAATAATTAATCATAAGTGAAAAAATAATTTTTATAAGCTCAGCGATCATTTTTCTTGCCGATAAGTTGCTTTTTAAATAATATTCATGTACATCATATTTGTTAGGTACGGTTTAATGTGAGAAAACATCGGATTTAGATTTTTAGGCAAGAGTAGAGCATACCTACTACGCACTTCGCACTTAAGGCATGGCAAATGGGTAGTCGTATTTGTATTGTACGGCCAGAACAAACGACATGACGATTCGGTAAGAGTGTCTGGCTGAATGGATAGCACAAGTGCAGCGCGTTAGGGTTACTACGTGAGCCGAAGCGGGCTCCTGATGTATAAAAAAGTTATAAAGTTGGAATTTTATTGATAGAAAATTGATTTGATTGTGGACTAAGATATCAAAATTTAGAGGCGGCAAAAATTGAATAGCCTACGGGCGGCAAATCTATAAATCCGCCACTGCTCTTGTGGTATTATAAGTGACTATTTTGCTGAACCAACATCACATTTTAAATTTCATCTTCTTTATACATACTTTGATTAAGGTTACGGTTCCTGGTTGATACATTTCCTATTAAAACTACTTTTGCTATATATATAACAATTATTTTAAACGCAATCTGTTATATTTTTAATATAGTGAATAATTACCTATATAATAATTATCACTAAATAAATTCAAATCACTCGTTAAACGTAAATTAATCAATAAATGATCCTAATCCTTAGGATTGATTTGCTCCAGTTCAAACAAGTTGTATGACTCAAAACTTAGCGATTAAAAAGAGTGGCGGAAAGTGTCTTGCCAGTTCTTCTTGCCCGCTCTACGTCCTTGACTTGCGAACTGGTAGTGCATGTAAATTTAGAATTAATTTAACTTCTTTTTTGGCGTTCATAAGTGTACTTTGTTTACCTATATGAATAAAGCTATTTTGAGTTTGAGTTTGAACGAAATCCTAAATATTTACCCGCTTAGTCTTTGTGAGTTGAAGCAACAATTATTATACCAATGACTTCCACAGTTGTGCACCTTAAGTTATGTGGAAGTTTTGGTATATAATTTTAGTTTAGTTCTTTTTATATAATTATTTTTTAATGCCATAACATGTTGAGCTCCCTCTGCAATCAGGGGGTCTAGCCAAGATGGCTTAACAGTAGTGTATGTAGAAAGTCGAAAACTAAATTTGTATGGAAATGACGGCTCGTGTCGACAGTCGGTAGCCTAGGCCCTAAAGGCGTGAGTCGGGATACAATAAGCGACGCCATGACAGTGCTACAAAAAGACACACATTAACGCTTACGCTATTCGGTAGCCAACGGCCAATTAATGTTTCGGCAGTGTAGAAAAAACGGCGTTTCTCCGCCATGTTTTAGCATGTATTAACAGTTATTACCTGTGGATCACTCATCACAGCGAGGAACGCTGTCACGCATTCACGCTATCTGTGGTTGTAATTTGTATAATGTATAGCTTTCTCGACGAATGATGTTGTTGACCTTTAAATTTTGTTTTTAAAGAAATAGTGATAGTTACTCATTTTTATTTTCATCACTGCCCGAGTTTTTAATATAACGACGCTAAGTGGGTAAAAAACATGAGTGAAAAATTAAAAGAACTCCGAGAAAGATCTCAAAAGCGGAAGAAGCTACTCGCACAAACGGTTTGTTGAAAAGTAACCATAAAATTACAGAACGCCGTATAAGTTGTTAGAAATAAAGTGTTTTGTTTACTGAATATATCGTATACTTACCGCTGTTACCTAATAAAGTTCAAAGTAATGCCATATGTATCCAAAGTAAACTTTTCCTACCTAGCCTAGAAAAGTTGATAAGTATATTATTTTAACAATGAAGAATTATTTGAAATCTGAAATATGTTTGTCTTATAAAATGTAAAGATGTAGTGGTATATATTATTAAGATGTTAAATCATATTTCAAGATTCAAACTTTCTATTCCTCTTAAATCATGGTCATTACAGTCTACACTGCAATTTATGACTTTGTAACATATACCATAGAAAAGTCTGTTATATTTAGACTTGTTACAGCTTGGTGTGTCTAGTGTGAGTGAATTGCGGCATGCCCTCGGTACAGGTTTGGATGTTTTACCAAAAAAACAAGCTACAGCAGGTTTCAGTGCCAGTGGCAGTGAAAAGCCTACACCTAAGGAGCCTGATAGTTTAGTTTACACAGATTCATCAACATTCTTGAAGGTTTGTTTACTATCTTTGGTTAAATTGCTTATCTTCCTGGTATTATATCTAGTCATAGTAATAAAAGCACTTGCATGCATATAAAATCAAATCAGGATGGGATTCTTACTTTATAAATTTATTTCTATTAATTTTAGGGTACACAATCATCAAATCCTCATAATGACTACTGCCAACATTTTGTTGACACAGGACAGAGACCACAGAACTTTATACGTGATGTGGGACTTGCTGACCGATTTGAAGAGTACCCTAAACTACGGGAGTTAATAAAGTTAAAAGATGAGCTGATTTCTCGTACTGCAACACCACCTATGTATCTTAAGTGTGACCTCAAGGTGATTTTTTTTATTAAATACTCTTATTTGACCTATTTTGTAAAACATAAGTGTCTGATATTTTTTTATATTAATACAATAATCATATAATATTACAAGTTACTCCAATCCTGGTCAATTTGCACTATTATTGGTCCATACCATCATAAACTTTGCATACTACAATTTTTCTAATTTCCTCATTTATTTAAAAATTCAAGTTACCTATACAAAATTAAAAATTACGCTAAATTTTTTTGCAAGATAAAATTGATTTGGTCTTTAAAGTATAGACGGCAAGTGGCCTACTTGCCTTTAAAGTAAAATTATTTAATTGTTAAAAACATCTGCAGACTTTTGACTTGAAGACAATGGGTGTGAAGTTTGATGTAATATTAGTGGAGCCACCCTTAGGAGCAGGTTGGAGGTGGAAAGATGTTCTAGCCTTGGAATTGCATCATATTGCTCAACCACGATCTTTTGTGTTCCTATGGTGTGGAAGTTCAGAAGGTAAGTTTATCTGGCGGTGGAGGATGAGGCAAAGGTAGACTCTTTGACCTCTTCACAGGGGCAATGTAACTGTTACTGAAAACCCCAATTTATGCCAAAATTTCATACACAAAATAATATTTCTAACCATTCTATTTCAAAATTTTTGTTTACTTATAAATTGTTGCTGCTAGGTATTTCTAAGGACTTTCTTCATATTCTGTGTTCCATAGCTGTTAGTTTACATCTGTCCTTATTGCCATCCTGATCCACAAACATATATTGAAACTTTAGCACATTTATTTCATTAATTTATAAACTATTACAGATTTCTTTAGCCTTCATCACAATTATATTTTCAGGTCTAGACATGGGCCGTGAGTGTCTGAAAAAGTGGGGTTTTCGTCGCTGTGAAGATATTTGTTGGATAAAGACGAATATAAAGAATCCGGGACACTCCAAAAACCTTGAACACAATGCTGTCTTCCAACGTACCAAGGAGCACTGTCTTATGGGTGAGTCTTATACTAGAGAAATTCTTGTAGATTTTTTATATACATATTTAAAAATATAAAAAAGAATGAAAATTTTTTGAATTAATTTTTTTTTCTTTTAAAGAACAAGGTACATTTTAAGTGTGTAATGGGTGTGTGCTGTGGTTGTAATTGGCCCTGGCTCGGCATTATGCTGAGGAGTAGACTGCTCCACAGCACTGGTCGTTCTGTCAGAGACCACAGCAGCTATTTTGCCTCTCAGTTGCAAATAATAATAAGAATGTAATAATAATAATACTTAAAGAAAAAATAAGATTAATAAAATTTAGCAGTGTTTAATGAAGTCTTGTGTAAAAGTAGTTAAATGTAGTTAATAAAATTAAAAATAAGAATAATTGAATTTAATATACATAAAACTTGGCAATAATTTCCATACCAATCCTGTGTCCCTTCTGAATAGTGTAATTTGTTTATTTTTAGGTATTAAGGGAACAGTTCGTCGTTCGGTGGACGGTGATTTCATTCATGCAAATGTTGATATAGACTTGATTATATCCGAGGATCCTGAGTTTGGTTCCACGGAAAAACCGATTGAGATATTTCATATTATGGAGCATTTTTGTCTTGGCCGGAGAAGGTATGTTAGATAATTTTATTTTGTAATAGTTTTTCTGCTATCATGAAATGCATACTGTGATCATTAGTCACAGATAAAATACAGTAAATATACAACAGAAATTAAAAAATATTTTCAGGAAAATTTAATCCTATTTCATAGATATCTATCGGAACCATTGGTCATTAAGCGGATTATTGTATTTTTTTTATACAAACGAGCCTACGGGACGCCCAAAAAGGGCAGTCATAACAGCCAATTTTTAGTGGGTGCGTTGCTGGCCTTTGAGGGAGGAGTACACTCTAACTTTGAATAGTTGGAGGTCTCTCATGGAAGACCCCACCACGGTTGTCGATTCCACAGTTCGCTAATTCGCAAAAGAAAGTGCCATGAGTAGATTTAAATGTTCGTTGAAAAATAAAATTGTTAACAATTCTAAGCGACCCCCAACAACCTTCAAGTTCCATAATACACCTTAAGCCGGAATTAAATTACAAAATTAGTGGCATGAAATTAATTTCGTGTCATTATTTTTACCAACAGTTTCACCTCACCTGTAATTCAATATTTTCGTAATGCATTAATTTTATGATGGAGATGCGACGTGCAATAATTAGTGTCGCGAAAGTGTCTCTGCTGTGCGGACGTGTGTATTTTGAAGCTAATACATGATGCCACCCTGAGTTCTTATAATTAAGACTGAAAACTATTTCCAGTTGCTAAAAATCAGCAAAAACAATATAGCCAATAAAGCTTTGATGATGATGCATGGTTACTGCGATACTGAAAATTTCACGACACTAATTATTTTACGAAATTACTTTCGCATATATCGAAACTATTTTCGTGAAACTGATTTCCCATGCATGCCACTAATTTATTAATGTAATTCCGGCTTTACATGTGTTCCATACAAACCTATGTTTAAAAAGTACATCCTTCAGCCAGAGCTAACCAAGAGTTTAACCATAAACAGATCTGCACAAACTAATTGTCGACAGCTTTCTAACAAAACCACATATTGAATAAATTGTATTACGTCTTATAAAACTTATATCACTTCTCTATAGAAGTTTAAAAATGTCCACATTGATATTAGATTCTTAGCATTGCTGGCCAGTGGCTTGAAATTGCGGCTCTCAACCCTGAGGTCGTGCGTTCGAATCACGGTTGTGCAATGGATTTTTCTGTACGCTATAGCGTTCAAGTCTAACATATGTCAGACCCAGTTCACCTACTCGCCTATTAAATATACTGATGAAAATCGAGACCATCATTCATGTAGGGCTGAGTTCGAAACAATTTAATATTGACATTTTTTATTCGATTTTTCTTGTAGATTGCATTTATTCGGTCGGGACTCCACCATCCGTCCAGGCTGGGTGACAATTGGTCATGAATTGACGAACTCCAATTTCAACGCTGATTTATACGCTTCGTACTTCAATGAGGGCCGCGAAACCACCGGTTGTACGGAGCGTATCGAGGCGCTTCGCCCCAAAAGCCCTCCGAACACGAGTAAGGGCACTCGCCCTAGGGGCAGGGGGGGTTTCCGCAGCAGGGGTAGGGGCAGGGGATCTATAGGTTAAGCTTTAATAAATATATATTCTGTAACTGTTTTATTATTAATCAAGAACTTTTCTAAATATAAACTAAGTTGTTAAAAGAACGGCGGGCTGCGTGTTATAGCTGAGAAGGGCGAGGCTTGCCGCCTTTGATAGTTTGCGAGTTACGGAAGGAAAACAAATTATTGTATTTGCATTCCCTAATTGCCTCAATATCATGTCATAAAATCTGATAAAAGCCAAGAGGCTGATTGCAGATGGTTAGAATTTAAAAAAAACCTTGTAAAGACTAGGGCGTCTAACGACTGAGACATATTACATTTTGCCACAGTAACAATGTTTGTTACGTGCATTATTTGAAGGATTTTAACCGATTCAAAAAAGGAGGTTATCAGATTGACTCATTTGTGTGACATTGTTAGAATTGAATATGATCCATTAAGTATCCATAGTAATGGTTGCAGCTCCTTACATACATTCTCCAAAAAACTTGGCGATTAAAAAGTGTGGCCGAGAGATTATTGCCATATCTTCTCTTCCGTTCTACGCCCTTGATTTGAGAACTGGCATTAAATGTAAAATTAGAAGCATTTAATGTATATTTCTATTTTGACGTTAATAAAGTGTAGGTACATTGTGTTACCTATATGAATAAATGATTTTTGACTTTGACATACATGTACAAACTTATGGAATTATCCAAGTCGGTTTAATGTTTCTAAATCATCTTCAGACGGCTGCCTCTTTCCTTGTCCAGCTGGTGAATAAAAAAAGGAAATAAAACACAAAACTATATACATCAATATATTTATTTTACATAGGTTGTCTTTAAATCAACTCGACTATTCTGAAGTTCATCAAAATATAAAAAAGACAAAACAAAAATATGACATATGAGATCTTTTACTTACTAAGATTAGAAAAATTTACATGTTCTTTTATTATTTTAATTATTGTGAAACTAAGAATTTACGATTCATAAAAATTTATGCGCCGGCGCTTCGCTCGCTTAGGGATTCAATTTATAAAAAACATTATCGAGTTTTTTGAGGAGTTTCGTTTAAATTACTGTACACTCGTTGGATAATATACAGAACCAAGATTTTAGATCTTAAAACTTAGATTGGATTTTAGAAGCGCTTGGTACAATGTAAGACGGGCGCAGCTCCGGCGCTGGTATCCAATTGACTCACTCCTCTGACTACAGTAACACGGCCCATTGTCAAGTCTTATATTACATAATTCATTTTGTTATCATTATACAAGGCATATTCTTTCATTTAGCGACGCGAGCGCACGTCGTTCGAGTAATAGGAGCTTAAACAATTACATATTCAAGTAATTACCGATCAACGTGCTTTAAGCCCAGCTCGAAAAACGGCGCTCGGGCCTCTAGCGACACCCTTCTAGTATAATCGTCATAAGATCACATTTTTCTTATAAGGCAAACAACAATCTTTAAAGCTAAACCTTTGATGAAGGACAAGGGGAAGGAAGCGACCGATAACGAATTCTCATGCAAAACAAAATTAATTGGAATGGGGATTTAAACTAAACATGACTTTCAGAAAAGAAAGCAACGCACTAACATCTAAATTTGTACTTGATAAACGCGTAAAAATACGGACGCCAAATAGATTCAAATTCGCTTCATTTATTCGACTTATATAATCTATATTTACAAATTCGAAAACAAAATGGCGCGCGCGGGTTTCGTGAAAAGCGTTTAAAATTAAATTATAAACTAATTAATGAGACAATTGTTAATTGATGAAACTTAAACATATATTTTTCAGACTGGAAGCATTCGGGACAGCTGAGCCCACAAAACAAAGGGGCGAACCGTTTAAATATTTTACAATTTTGTGATGATAATACTTATAAATTAAAACAATTGGAAGTCGGTAGCCCCTTTATCAACACTGCATTCCGTTCGGACGATTCTATGACGTTCCTAACCTACCTTACCGCCTAACTTACGCTTAACTCTGCCGACCATAAACTCCAGAACGAGTGCGTTTCAAACATTCAGAATTTCAATACAAAAATAACCTGTGAAATAAAACACAAACACTCGGTTACTTTTGATTTCAACGATTCATCGAACCTAAACGTCATAGAAATCAGAACAATAAGGCAATATCGGCACTGACGGCTGGCTTAAATTCAGCAACTTATCTTACATGCTGTGGCTATTTCGTAAACCCCATTGCCTATTATTGATTATGAATTAGAATCCATGCTAACTGTGGAAAAACAATGTCACACTCAAGATGTAATCAACAGCTGACAGCTGCTTTATGAGTAATTAATAACCGATGCTATTGTCAAACTTCAAGTGTCACTCCAGGTTTTAATGTGACACAAGGGAACTGTCAGTTATAGCCTCACAACATCGGCTTGCCATTCATAATAGCAATTTCACAACTACGCCAGATTAGGTCTATTATTTTCACTGTAACATGGCAAAAAATCGTTTAAGTAACATGCAAGATTAGTCAATCCTCTAAAATTTGGCAAAATATGCTCGGAGCAACTGTAACCTCATCATGTTACACGCGGCACACAAGTATAAAATTATAAAAGTATTAGACAATATACAAAATAAAATACCGTAGGTATGTCAATAGTTAAGATGCATAGATTAGAATTCAAAATCCTATAAAAGTATTGCCCGTTATACCTACAATCATTATCAATTTCTAAAGTGACAGCGTTGTTGTTTTTTATTAGAAGTAGGTTTTTTAGTGTCAAACATTCAGACACTTAGGCCGATGTCGGCCCGTTTATAACGGGAACTAAAAAACTGTTTATATATTTCAAAATGAGGGTAGAATGTCTCTAAGTAATATTGTTAATACAAGCTGAGTTTTTATTTATGAATGAAATTTATCACTAGGCCACCGCTTTTAATAGCTATGTTTACAGTTGAAGTTTTAATTCAATTACGAAGAGGATAAAGTATTATTAATTTAAAGCAGATTATTCATTTATGTATTGTATTAACAACATATCAACCATCAAGTGAGAAGCAACCTCCTGACTAATTCAATAGCTATATAGCAAAAATCACATAAAACAATGTATATATGTAATTAGTTTGTCAATACAACTGTAGACACAGCCAGATGACAATGAGATCTTTGAACTTATAAAATGTCTATTGTTATTTATAATGACCACTCAACAAACATAAAAACATGCCTTGTACCGACTTACATTAGTGTATCTAAAATTCTAAAAAATTCCTATCAAGAGCTTTCTATACAAAAATAATATAATGACGATCAATTTGTGGAGATACAATTTAATGTATCAGTAACGCTGCAACCTTTTAGATCTGGCCTCAGATGTGTTTCGTGATTGTTTCTTCTAATAGGCAAGTAGGTGATCAGGCTTTTGCGCTTGGCACACAGACTTCTTGGGTCGAAGGCCGGTTTCACCAAGGACCTTCCTTCACCTTACGAGCGATTGTTAAATGCACATATAGAAAGTATCTATGATTTTTTGAAGTTATACTTCTTTAGGCGCGTTAAAATTCATGAGAGTGAAATTTTACGATGCGCGCGCACCGTGACACAAAATTATCAGTATAAAGTTGCCCACTAACGAATTCTTTTTAAACCAGCCGGGCGCCGAGCGTGCGCGAGCTTGATGGGAATAAGACAATCTACAAGTAAAAAGAAATAGAATATGCGTGAAGTTATGCCGAGAATTCTGAATGACCAGAATGACCTTTTAAACAAATAAAGGAGTTTGAATTATTTTTTCAAAAAAATTTAGCAATGATTTTTCACAAAGACCTATTGTTAATTAGTTAAAAGGTTATGAAACATACCTAGTTATTAAATTGAATGAATAATATAATAAATAATAATAATTATTATTATTAATATTAATTCATAATTGAATAATATACTAAAAAAATAAAAAAGGCCAAAGAAGTATAACTTCTTACGCGCGTTCATAAGTACACGCATCCTTTTTTTTCAATATAAAAAATATCTGCCTTACACGCTACAGAAGATATAGAATAAACCCTGGCCTGGGGAACACTTGGAGTTAAAGAAGCACTTCTGACCCTTTGATAGCATCAGCATAATTTGACAGAAAGAGACTGACTACTGACTTTTTTTAATTATTCAGTTTTTAAGTATATGAGGGTAGTTGCTTGACTTGCTTAGTAGCACAGTATGCAAAGTATGTTTTTATAATGCTTTGCTTTCATCTTCCAATATCTGGTCGCACTACTGTACCAAAGACTTAAAAACCTATAGAGAAAAATCATTATCATCAAAATAGGCTCAGTCGTAGATTATGAGATATCTCGAAGGCTTACTTAGGTAACGAAGAAATAGTCGTATTATTTTTTAAATACTACCATTGTAGGCATGTTTTCAATTTAATGTCGAGAAGTCAGGTGGGAAAATTTTAAATTAAATAATATAAAATTATAAAAAAATTACTAATTTGATTTTGTACTCCGTCATACATCTGTAGTCATTTCGTAAATTAAATTAAACTTGAATCCTAAAAACTAAGACGGTCTTAATTTTTCGAGAATTTTCGGAATCTACTATTAAAAAAAACAAGAGTCGGCTATGACAATACTCTCAATGTATTGTGAATAGACAAGCTGTCACTGTCATGCGATTTGACAGATTCTGTGATAACGCTGAAGGGAATTTGATACGAGTGTATTTGTCAACCTATTAAAATGCATTTTCAAATTCTAACGAAATTCAATAAAAATACCAAAATTAGGAAACAACTGTAATCTCATTATACGCAATTGTGACATCTCTTGCACGTGGTCAATCACGAACCTGGTCATCCGTGATCACATGATCACGATCAAGTACCACGGTCACACACCCACCATTCGTACGTTTTTGACAGATCGACTCTTAAATAGACAGATAATATATTCATAAATATTACAGTAAAAACCATAACCACTTTTATTCACATTTTTTTAGTTATTTAAAATAAACTCCCATTACACGTACCACAAGCGAATATTAGTTGATCAAGTGGAAATTTATTAACACAGATTATAAACTGAGCCACGCGTTTATCCAAAAAGAGCGACAACACTAAATTCCATAAAACATAGACTTGAGCAAATTCTATGACAGCTGTCACCGAGCTATATTTTACAGTGGACACTGTCATACAATGCCAGGCCTGGCTCAGTCTATGATCCTGAAATTAAGAATCAATCTGTAAAAATTGCTTAAAATTAGCTCAGTCCAGGGGATGGCACAAGCCTATACCTACACACAGACACACAGAACACTAAGTTTTTCGATCACTAGGAGTTTGGTCTCTACGCCACCGTGTTAGGGATCAATGTCGTTTAAATCGCCAATCACAAGTATGTAGATTCACCTGAAATGAGAAACCCATGTAAGCGACCGAGCTTTACATACGACCTCTATTATTAAAAAGATTTGCAAATACAACTGACGAAATTAATAAAGAAGGTAACACAACTACACCCAATAATTTTATGTCTTTATTGGCAAATAAAATATTAAAAAAATCTTTAAATATTCACCGACAGTTCAATTCTATGAGAAAATATCGTCTAAATTGCGTCGCACTAAAAAGGTTCATTGCAAATCTTTACCATAACATAATAGAGGTCAGTGCACACACCACAGATTACGTTTTCAAATATAGAACATGGCCTAAAAGGCGCTAAACTGAGTCTGTGGCATGTGTGTGTCGGTTCTGCGAAGCTGTACAGCGGATGAATGTTAAATGAATGATTGACAGTGCCAAAATATTACTGGAATAATCAAGAAACATTATATTCCACGTTAGTAAAAGAATTTAGGAGATATTTTGGCTACTGAAGGGTTAAGACAGACACATGACACAGCCCACAACACAAAGACAGGACATTTTACAAAAGGATTGCATGCATACAAAACATTCTTTAACATAGCTACTGAAAAAGTTATTTTAAAAGTTTTCCAGTTTCAAATTATAATTGAAAGTCAAACAATGTACTTAATAGAATGCAATGATCGTGAAAATGAAAAAAAAAATGATTATTTAAAAAAATAGCGAGAAAGAAAGCTCAATTATAAAGAACCTTCGCTAAGTAACATTTAAAGAAAGCTTTCACCTGTAAACTGTGTTCGTACACAAAACGAACTACCGAAAACTTCGTGCTAATAGAGCAGTGATTAAAAGTGTAATTTTTGGTCCATTACCACCTCTCCTTTCATCAAAACGACGAGGGAGTAATACTGATTTGAACTTTAAAATTAACGATTAAACAATCTTGCGATCATGGTAAACCTATTTAAGCAAATAACTATTTTCGCGATTTATCGTTATTTAAGTGACTTAATTTAATTTTAATAAACTGATCCGTGTATTGAAAATGCAATGTCATAATAGGCTATTTGACAATTTAAAACCATTTCAGATTATTAATTAGTGACAATAGAACCTACACAAATTGTTAGATTTAATTCGGATAAGTTTGACGAGACGTACCAAGCCTGTAAGCACGTAAACACAGGTCAAGATTTGTACAAATACTTTTTATATTTAGATCAAAAACAGCCTTCGAGTTAATTATACTCCCAACAGTGTTAAGAAGTCAGACAGTGGGGTAATTTGATTATTAAAGTCCCGGGTGATTGATTACTATTCAAAAATGTATTTAAATATATAGTAATTTGATTTTCAGTATTTCATAATGTCTGAAAATTTACTTAGTGTGTTTCGTTAAGAATTTCCTTTTCAATAAAATATTTTTACTTATGGATTGTTGGATTAATTCAAGTTATTCTACTCCATATGCTTTTTGTATGTTTAAAACGGATTACTCTCAAAAGCACTTTATATGTAACTGTCAAATAACCTATACATACATTTAACGATTACATATAATTTATAACAATTAGTATGCTTTATATATTTCGAGAAAAAAAAATAAAAAGATTGCATACACATGCCGAGGGTCTAAATTAGCGCAACTAAACACGAACACTAAAGCAAAAATTATAATAGATATATTTTATTGAATGATAATGCGGTGCGAAACATGCTAAACACGTATACGAACTTTCCATAGATATTAAAATGTTCCTCTAACGAACGAAGGAAAAGGCAACAGACTACTCAAAACAAGACACATTTTCAAGAATGACATTGACATATTGAAAACCATTTTATAAGTACAAAAAGTATTGTTTATTATATTCCTGTAATACCACATTTTATCGAATCAACAATAAATAATTTCGATTCACAGATAAAAAGCTAGTCCGACTTTTCGTGTAAAGTCTGCATCATTGAGGAAATTTATTAATAAAAAAGAAAATACACAAAGAATCATAGATTCTATCTTCTATAAGCTATATCCCGTACGTCAAAAAGGTATTGAATTCTGAAATACAAAGTGTTGCCTTGGTATTAAGATGGAAAGTCCGTATTTTAATATACATAATATTTACGTGTTGGTTTCGGCGCAGAGCGGCGACAGAGGGCGGTAGCGACCGACGCGTTCGCAACCCGCGCCTACAAATAATTATTTTTTTATAGAATTATTGTCTTTGAAACAAAATAACATGGAAAAAAGACTAGCTTAGCTTGCCGTCCCTGGTGATTGATTACAGTTTTTCAAATGAAAACAGTTAAGAATTAATTAATGGCTAAATAATTTAATGTTTTATAATAAAAATAGTCGAGATATTGAATAATCTTGTAAATAAGATTTTGATTTTAGCGCCTTATTAAATGTCATTCTAATTTCAAGATGGCGTCTTCAATATTTGTTTATTAATGCATGTCTTGCTTTATTGAAATTAAGTTAATGTTAAAGTTTTTATTAACTAGTTTTTATTTCATTTATATGTTTTTAAAATGATCAGCTTAAGTTATTTCTTTAAAGTTAATAATTTTTTAATTTTCGTAGGCAGCAGCGCCTAACCACCAGAAATGTGTTTTCGCCGTTCAGTCGAATATCAAAAATTATGTAATTGTTAAAACGATTATTATTACAAATTTCCACACAGTGGTTCTTTGCTGTTCCACGTCAAAAGGTGCGTGAAACATACGCACGTACGTATACGTAATAGGTGTTAATTTGGAAACTTCATACCTGATTATCTGACACGTTTTATCGTTAGATCTAGATGCATTATCACCATTCCATTTATATTTTATATTACCATAGATTTCGTTATCGGTTGAAGAGATCTTTTAAAATATATGCTCTTATTACTCTAATGTTAACAAGTTTTGTATATATCTCACACAAGTAGCATAGACAAACTAAAATTTGTATTTTAATAACATGTTTGAAACAATGTCTAATACGACAGAAATACATCCGTCTCCCTCATAAACCCAATGTAAGAAAGGGACAACGGGCTTTGTGCCGTTGCTATCGAAAAAAATGCCAATTGACAAGTTAACCCACAAAATGTAAGCTTTATAAACAATATTGAGAACAAATGAATTGACTCATTTCTGAAATAAGGTCACAAAACAGAAACCCTTTCCTCACTTGTCAATATATAATCTGTAAAAATTAAAAAAAAAAAAACAATGTGGGATACATACATAACAAACAATTAACGCTTTGTATTGAGACATCACCTGTATACTCACCGCTTAAACTATGATCTAACATTCGAAAACTTATATTATGTCGAATTACTATATAATACTTAAATTATATTTACAACGAGCACAGAGGAAACCAAAATAAATGGTATCGCTGTAATAACTTAACTAAATTCATCCTCTCATTATCGAGTGAACTGTAATCTACTATAATATGTATATGTGAATGTGTAATCAACGTTTTATTATGCATTATATGTACTAGAATCAAAATAAATGTTAATATAAGCGGCCCAAGGAATCAGTCCAGTAGTTTACCTAACCCAATTTACATATTACATACCTTTTTAGGTCTGGGCCTCAGATTTCTGTATCTGCTTCATAATCATTTCTCAATCTAATAGGCAAGTAGTCAGTCACCTGTGGCTGACACACGCCGTCGACTTCTGGGTCTAAGGTTTCCTCACGATGTTTTCCTTAACCGTTCGAGCAATTGTTAAATGCGCACGGTTACATATTATATACTGACAATATTGACAGCCCAAATAACGTCTGTTGAATGCATAATAAAACCTACAAATCATCAACAATCATGTTTATTTTTCTTTTTTCGGCTCTCACCGAATTTCCCGCTAAATTCCCGCCATGAAGCTCTCATGTCGCCCAGAGACAAGCGCGGTTTGGATCGCTTCTCGTCCATAGACTGATCCGACCCAACTTTAGGTATACTCCCCTCCTTATCACTCTCTGTACTCTCCGTCTTTTTCGATTCGAAATTCGACTCGTACTCTCCATACGAATATTCGATCGGTGTGAAGTTCGGTCGATTTCTCTCCGCCTTATATCCGATGCAATTACAGGAGCCGTTGAGACAGGAATCGCACGATTTCGTACTAACGTTACTGATATCCGATTTATATGTTTTACAATCGCATTCGATATCGTAACGCTCCTTCTCGCGACACTTGCCCGTACATTCTTTCGGATTCGAATCGGGCTTAATCGGAAAATCGAATCGCGATTCGCAACTTATATCGGACGGGGTGTCTTTGCATTGACAGTAATTGGACCAATCTTTGCAATCGCACGTGTTCTTGGAAGACATAACGGAATTCGTGTCTTGGCTGTCAGATTTACAGTCACAATGGCCGCACTGACACAGCGAATGTTCTAGGAACTTGTAAGTCTCTTTACTATCGTTTAATTTACACTCGTAGTCTGTACACTTTTTAGCCCAACCCAAGTGTAAGTTGTCTCCAGTTTTATTCCCGCTATCCTTTTCACACGTAACTTTATCCCCTTTATCGAAGCTATGGTCGCACGGTTTAAGTGTATCCTTCATGTGTACGCTCGAGTGTAAGTGTATGGGTGTGTGTAAGTGTAAAGGTGTGTGCAAGTGCAGGTCCTGCTCACCGGAGTCCCAGTGGGCATCTGGTTCTGTGTCGGGCTCCGAACACGAGGAAGCCGTGGAGGACTGGGGCGAAGGCGCTCTGTCGCAGTGACCGCTGAACTTTGACGTTTCTGGTTGCTTCTGGATTATTATCTCGACCTACAATTTATAAAATTTACTACTCTCATGATTCCTTAGTTTGATTTATTTTGTATAGTCTAGTATTGAACAAAAGTCTAGTAGAATTATTTCTTTATCAATATGTAGATTACCTTTATTGGATTTTGGACTTTATTGGATTTTGAAAATGAATATTTTAATAGTCCCAAAGGATGTTAAAAATCAAAAACAGAAGACACAGAATGCAAACAGCCTATTATCTGTGCTAAAAGCAAAATTTTTTTACGTCATATGAATAATCCATTATCCAATACATAAAAACTATACTTATATATTATATATAGCTGTTTATTAAAATGGCCTAGTTTAAAAATAAATGAAAATTGTAAAAACACTATCATTCCGGCCCGAAGGACCTTCGACCGTATGTATCTATTTCAGGTTTTTTCTCTTCTATCAGACCGAATCTGGTCTAGATTCGACTAATCAGGAATAACTATTAACTCTGATATAGTACTAATTTCTAGAATAAAGTGAGGAAGAATGATTTGTTCTTTCTACGCATTTTCTTTGAGTTATCTAAGAATTATTATTATATTCTCTAAGATTTGTAATTTAATAGCTGATCATAAAAATGGCTCTCATCTAAATGATATATATCTAAATAAATTTTTTTTATACGCACACATCTGTATTAACGTATTTGATAGAATAAAATTACCTTAAAATCCTCACTATACAGTTTGTGTTGCTTGTCCTTGTGCGCGTCATCCAACTCCCATTTATTAAGGGTCAGCTTAAATGTCTCCAGGTTCGGACCTAATTTTTTTTTTAGATATAATTACCATTTACCAATTAAATGTTTATATGTACGTGTAACACTGATTATAGAAAAGTCAAAAGCAAAATAATATAAAAATCAACTCCTATTATTAGCATACATTATAAAAAATAAAAATCTCAAAATCTAAATCTTAATTTTTGGGAAAAAAAGTTTAAGCCCTTTAATGATAGGATAATAAATTATAAAATTAAAGTTCAGCTAAAGTATTGCCTATTATATCATCATCTATTAATTAAAAGATTCAATTCTTTATTCTCAATTCACTCTTTTCATCACAACGTAAATTTAATATGACGGAAAGGGACGAAACACCTCTCTTTCAAAAAAGTGCAATTTATTTAAAGAATAAGCCTGTTAGAAAAGGGACACCTAAAATGGTAGATACAATATTTTACTTGCAAATTTGATTAGTAAAAAAATATAAGAAAGCTCACTATCGTGCGGCGAGGGCACGGGCTGCGAGCCCACGCAGGCGGTGACGAAGAAGGTGTTGAACCAGAGGTGGAAGAGCCTCTCCTTGCGCATCATCTTCTGCTTGGCGTACACGTCCAGGCGCACGTCCCCGCTCAGGGGCGTGCACGCGAGTGGACACACGCGCACGTAGCGCTCGCCGCGGCGCGTCTCATGACTGCCCAGGCACGTCTGCGATATTATATAACATCGTATTAGTATTGGGACTAAAATATGCGAATATCGTATACAATAGCTACTGTATATGTTTCATGGTCATTTGTTATAGGCAAGTAAGTTATCAGCAGTTGAGCAGTGTTGGCCTAGTGGCTTCAGCGTGCGACTCACATCCCTGAGGTCGTAGGTTCTTCGATCCCCGGCTGTGCACCAATGGACTTTCTTTCTATGTGCGCATTTAACATTCGCTCGAACGGTGAAGGAAAACATCTTTAAACCGGCTTGCCTTTGAGACAAAAATTCGACGGCGTGTGTCGATGTGGATTTACAAATGATCATGAAACAGATACGGAAATCTGAGGCCCAGACCTAAAAATGCTGTAAGGTTGTAGCCATTGATTTATCTTTAATCAACATAAAAAGTATGTTGAAAACTACTTTTATATGCATTTGTCGCGCTCCTAAACAAGTCTGCTATGGTTACATTTATACATTCCATAGTGGTTTTATTATATTATATTCCGTAAAAAAAAAGTGAAACTGAAACTTCTTTGTAAATTAATTATTACTAAGGTAAAAGCCCCAATAGATGATCATGTACCAGTATATGATCACTCCATGTATTTGTATATCTATATTCACACTGTTTACACACTGTATACTTGCTAATGATAATATTAATAAATAAAAAATCTGCATTTACTGAATACATCAACCAATAGCGTGTATGTTTTCTCGATCTCCCTTACTCTCTCTCTCAATCTTTCTCACAATAGCTCTCTCCCACCTTTCGCTCCATGGCACTGCGTGATGCGACGTTCTCACTTGCTTGCTCCCTAATCTCCTTGGCTATTTGCTTCATGCTACGTTCGCCCTTTCTCGATCTCTCCCTTTTCTTCGACAAAAACGCTGCACATCTTCGTGATGCTAATTTGCGTTTCATACGTAAAATTTTACCCTCATGCGTCTAAAGAAGTTTCACTTCAAAAACAGCCGTTTAAAACCCTTATTGTACCTTAAGTGACAACTTCGCCTGCGCAACAGTGATCTCCAAGGTACAGTGGGCAGCGGAGAGTGCTGGAGGTGGTGACATCACCACTTCCCGTATGTGCACCTTACTGGCCGTATAGTGGAGTGAAGAGCGGACCAGCGAGGCGAAGTACTCCACGTACCGCCTTTGCGAGGGTATCGTCACACCTGGAACGCACAAAGAGCTGTTTTCAGAAATTTAATCTTCTCTTTAATCGTCTTATTGTAATTTTAAAGGAAATTCTTAAGGGAGCGTTCAAGTATTACGTAACGAATTTTTGGGGCTTTTGCAAACGTTACGATACGGGGCGAGGACTGAATTACGTGTTATTGTTAATATTATTTTCGACTTTCCAGTACTTTACACCACATAATGGTAAGTTTTAGGTATAATGAGTCACTAGGTGGTCACGAAATGTTTTATTATACTTGGCTACAGAAAAACGTTACGGCGCGTTACATGGGGGGGTCAATAATCTCTAAAAATTGCGTGACGTAATACTTGAACGCTCCCTAAGGCATGGTGCCTCTATTATACTTAATGTATACATAATTATTATTGTACGGTTCCTGGATCATTGGGGTACTTTAAATAATAGAGGATTTCTGTTTTACTTAACCACTCACGTACAATAATAGAATATAAGCGAAATAATGAAATGTGAATTGCTATAACAAATGAATGCAATGTAACAGTCAAAGAGAGTGCCTACGTCTGGCTATACTCTCGGGGCGTAACTAGGCAGAATACGAAATTCCACCCGTATCACCTCGACGTCCGGCGTTCCACTAAGCGTTTTACAGGGCAGTTTTTGCCGCGCACCACCACTATGTAGAACCAGCTGCCCACTGAAGTATTTCCGAACAAATTCGACTTAGGGTCCTTCAAGAAAAGAGCGTACCAATACTTAAAAGGCCGGCAACGCACTTGCGAGCCCTCTGGCATTGAGTGTCCATGGGCGGCGGTATCACTTAACATCAGGTTAGCGTCCTGCCCGTTTGCCCCCTGTTCTATATAAAAAAAAAACTACGACTATTTAGTAACTCGCCACGCTTATAAAACTAAGAAAGCCTGAGTGAGCAAAATGTACAGCCTTGGCTCGTAAAGTTATATATTACTAGCTGATCCGGCAAACGTCATTTTGCCATGTATATCATTTATAATAAAAAATAGGGGTTGATCGTAGAGGGGTGAAAGTTAGGGGTTGTATGTATTTTTTTATGCTGTATCATAAAAATAAAAAATAAGTAATTTATCTAAAAATTAAAAAAAATAATTTAGGGGTGGACTACCCTTAACATTTAGGGGGATGAAAAATAGATGTTGTCCGATTCTCAGACATACACAATAAGCACACAAAATTTCATGAGAATCGGTCAAGCCGGAGGAGTATGGCAACGAAAACTGTGACACGAGAATTTTATATATTAGATTAATTACATATTTATATAAAATGTATAGATATACAAAAATTTTCCAGGTCTATAGACAATTTAATATATATAATACCTTTCTCGTCATGAGTCCTCTTAGTGCCGTAGAACTTCAAAGCTTCATCTGCAGTGGCCTTCTGCCCGCTGTACAATAAGTAACAGCATACCATTGTTCCTGGAACATTATATTTTAAACAACATTAATAAAATTAAAAAAAAAACATCACACAGTATTAAACTTTACAACTAGGTATTTATCATTTATGATGTTATGTGAAACATGGTGTAATGGTTGCAGCTCCTTACAAACGTTGTGTAAAACAAAAAACTTGGCGATAGAGTGGCGGAGAGTTTATTGCAAGTTCTTCTCTTCCGTAAAATCATAAGCATTTAATGTATATTTCTTTTTAGACGTTCATAAGTGTACAATGTGTTACCTATATGAATAAATAAGTTTTGACTTTTAATTTATAAGATTTAAGATATCACAAACGAACAAATCATCTAAGAACTCACAATTTCTATTCCCAACGCCAAAACGAAGAACTGTGTTTGGCCACGTTCTTATTTACATTTAGGGACCCTTTATACTAAAATGTTATGGCATGTGTCAGGCATAGGCTGATCACCTACTTGCCTATTAGATCGACTAATGATCATGAAACGGATACAGAAATCTGAGACCCAGACGAAAAAAGGTTGTAGAGCCACTGACTTTTAATTTTTTTCTTATAATCTTTAAAAGTTAATAACACAGCAATATCAATATATTTAAACATAAAAACTATAATAAAATAACTTCATATTTGTACATACATTATATAACAATGTCGCATTTGCAAATTCGCTCTGCAAACATAAAAAAAACTATTTGTTTTACTATTATGAATGTAAAAAACCTTTTCAGCTTAAGGTAGTTTTTTCTTTATATATATAAGAGGTATAATAAATAAAAGGACAAATTTACGGGGTTCCACCTTAAACGATAAGAAATTGTATAAAAACATATGACATCGAATCAATTAAATGAGTAATTTTAACATGGCAATTAAAATTGTAGTTATTTTCGTATCAATAAAAACTTGATAAATTATTCATTTACTTATATAACTCTTTGATTGGATATTTAACCGCTGTTTTAGCGTTTAAACGTTCGATCCTCAACTCCTAGGTCGTGCTTTCAGATCCCGGCTAACCTAACCTTCGTATACACAAAGAACACTTCAAGCCCTGCGATTCTGTAACTCTAAACTAAACTACAAGCTCCCACCTTTTCAGAATGCCAAATCATAAAATGACTGCTTCACGACTGATTTGAGAGCGACCGCCGATGCGAAAACCGCTGTGTGAGTTCGAAAAGTGAGTTACAGAATCGCAGGGCTGTGCTGTAAAATATCGTGAGCCATACCGATGGCTTTGGATGAAAAACCCCAGGTTTACGGTCAACTTTTTGGACAAAAAATTTACGTCATATAAATCTTTACACTCCAAGAGGACATATCCTAAGGATCATGAAAAACAAAAGACGCAAGTATGGTGTAATTCTCTTGATCATGTGTCAAAAGAAACTACGATATCACGCCATGCACATACCTATGTAAAAACTATACAAAGAGCACACACATGCAATCAAAAATAATAAACAAATCAGTGGTGCTACAACCTTTTCAAGTCTGGACCCCAGATTTCTGTATCTGTTTCATAATCATTTGTCAATCTAATAGGCAAGTTAGGTGATCAGCCGGTTTCCTCACGACTCTTTCACCGTTCGAGCGATAGTTAAATGCGCACATAGAAAAGTCCATAGTTGCACAGCCGGGGATCGAACCTACGACCTCGGCGATGAACGTCGCACGCTGAAGCCCCTAGGCTAACATTGCTCAAATAATAATGCCTTTTATTGCAATTATTAAGGGCCTGATCGACGGACGAGTAAGACCGCGGTTTTATGGCTCGTCGGTAAAGCTCGCCGGTGTATCATTGCAAAACCATGGTTTTAAATACCGCCGAGCCTGACTCGCGGCTCGTCGTCGTGCTATATTTTTTATTTTTGGTTGCCTTTTTTCAATCCAATTTTTAACCCAAACTTTAGGGCGATTTTTTTTTTCATAACTGCGTAATATCCTATGGCGAGATAACACAAGACTCGGAACAAGACATGTTTGCGACTGTTTTGCTTGCTAATCGATCAGCACCAACGAGCCGCGAGCCAGGTTCGTCGGTATTTAAAACCACGGTCTTACTCGCCTGTCGATCATAGGCTTAATAGAGTATACCTTCACCGTTCGAGCGAAGAATAGACAAAATAAATAGACAAAAAATTCAATTGGTGCACAGCCGGGGCTTGAATCTACAACCTCAGGTATGAGAGTCGCACGCTGAACACTGCTCACACATGGAATAGCCCATTCCAAAAATTCTCCACAAAAATGGGTAAATTGCGTAATAGAACCCTTTCCGCACCTTTCCTTTAAACCACACACAAAGGCATTCCCAACTTTACAGCTACACCACAAAGGAATATAGCCATTACTGCGTCGACATAAAATCTCTTTTTCTTTAACACGGCCGATAACGATCCGTTATTGGGACTATTTCAGGATGAATATTTAAAAATCACAAAAGAATACGATACTTATAATATAGCTAGCAAGTCTTTTGTTGCATACTTTTGCTACTTTGTGTGAGATCCTGTTTGCGCTAAATCGGTGTCAGTCAAAGAAGGATGACTATTGTTGATTTTGACTTCAAATCATTTATTTCAATTAGGCCTACTTAAAAAAACAGGACTTGTTGCCCCTTGCAAAAGGTAGATTCATATATAGAAGAATGGGCAAGAAACTCCATACCTACTCTTTTATAATAGTTTTACAATATATACATTGATTTGATAATTATATGTGAAGACGATGTACCTAGAACAAACAAAAACTACTATACCAAAATAAAAATGAATGCATGATGTTATAAAAAACAATTTTATGTAGGTACATGGTACATGGGTCACATATTCACAAATATTGCAACTATAGATTTAAAATTATTATTTATACAAAAATAAATAATTAACATACAATCAAACAGTGAGTGAGAGTTAATTTCTTATTAAAAAAAACGCTTTATAGAAAATCGCGTTGTTATATAATAATACTCCTATACTCGTAAAATAGTTTTTTGAACAATTCAAAAACTAGGTACACGAATCTTGTAAAGTTATTATTACATAATATATACTATTACATCATTACAGAAATATAACTTATGAAATCTCCGCGTTATACGGGGGGAAAAACCGTCATATGGGGAACGAAATCGCGTAATACGAAAACGCATTATAAGGGGGATTACTGTATATAAATGTATTAATACTCTATATTAGTATGAATACTTTCTATATAATACGCTCAAATTCTCACTATCACTTTCCCCTTGAAGACGTATTTCCCGTCCTCTTAAATGGGTCTTATATATGTACTGAGTATAGTAACACGTGTAGTTAAGATCAATCTTAGACATTGAAGGTCTTATGTTAATGTAAGCTCACATTGACTCACAATTAAAAATTCTTGGCGGTTTAAAATAATTTTAATGTTATACTATTAAAGACGAGAGCGATAGAGACTAAACCTTATTTAAAGTTTAGAGTTTCGGAGAGATTTCGAAGTGAAAACTTCTTTAGTGGCGTTGTACATTTTTTTTGGAATGGGTAAAAAATGTTAAAATCGCGTCAGGACACGGTGACCTGATCAAAAATTCGTAAGACGGATGGAGAGTAAACAGCTGGCGCGGCGTATTTCTGTAATATAAATTGTCATGTTTGTGTACGATAGCGCAATAAATAAATATTGTATTCTACCACATAAATGATAGTACTTTTATACTGATAATTAAAGCAATTCGTGTAAAATGATTCCCTAACCATTTCAAAATATCAAAAATGCACAACGTTAATATGCAAGTTTTCACTTCTGCCGGCACTCCCGGAGTGCAACCCGTCGTTTTTTTTATATTTTTATAGAATGGGAAAGGGGGCAAACGACCCTACGGGACCCAAAAAGAGACCGACCATGGACACCCATTTCAGTGGGTGCGTTGCCGGTGAAAGATCAGAATTGATTTCATAGTTCGCTAGTTCGCAATAGAAATTGTCTTGTGAATTGGACCGTGGAAGACTTCCAGCCATCTAGGTGATGGTGATGCATTTTCTTTACCTTATTAATGTGATATTTTGTTTATGCATGCATGCAATAAGCATGGTGTTATGCTAGCAGTAGCTTACTTAGCAATTAAAGAGAGTGGTGGATAGTTTCTTGCCAGTTATTTTAGTTTTAGTTACTTTAATATAATAACATTTTATTTTAATATGTCAAGTGATGCATGGTAATAGTTGCAGTTGCTTACAATTCCCTTGTACACCAAAACTTGGCAATTAAAGTGGCAGAAAGTTCCTTGCCAGCTCTCATCTATCCCATCACCCTTGATTTGGGAACTGGTTGTAAATGTAAATTTGGACCTTTTTTTTATTGACGTTCATAAATTTACGAATCACGAGTATATTAATATTGATTTGATTTTCTTTGCTTTATAAAACAAGTAAGTATAACCTGACAGCTAAACTCTGAAACAGCTAAGCATTATTCCTTTTGTTGAACACGAAAACATTTTTAAAAACTGCATTTCCCTCACTGAATAGATATGGGCACAATGCAATTCACTTTTGTTACGCGAACGCTAAATTAACTTTCATATTTCAAAGATAAATAAAGCAAGTTAATCTACAGTAATTTAAAACGATTTCAAAAAAGGTTTACAATTCAAGCTGTAATTTTTTAAATTATATTTTCTTTAGACATAGGCCCCAAAAAGCCTCGAATGATTTTTGAGTCTAACGCCGTCAACCACGTCAAACTTAACGTCTTCTTCTTATAGTGCCATCTCCTTGCGAAGGTGGGCGATCATCATGGCTAGTTTAATTTTGGATGCCGCGCTTCTAAACATTGACATGGTGCTTTGACCAAACCATTGTCTTAAGGTCTTTCAACCAAGACGTGCGTCTGCGGCCAGGTCTCCTTCTACCTGCCACTTTACCTTGTATGATTAGTTGAAGGAGCTCGTATTTTTTGGAGTTACGTAAAACGTGTCCGAAATACTCAAGTTTCCTTTTCTTGACCGTCATAAGCACTTCTTTGTTCTTCTGCATTCTGTCCACCACGGTTGTCTCAAACTCAACTACGTCAAACCATAACGTTTTTGACATAAGGGAGTCTCGACTAAGCAGGACGGCACCTCAAAGTAAGATTCAGATGCCGTGTCGATGTTTTCTTTCAACACGAGCAAGTTTTAATTACACAGAATTCCATTGCGTGTTTAAACGCACAACTTTTGTTTTAAAATTTGCATTACTCAGAGAAGATTTAAAAAATTTAAAGCCTTTTTTATAAAAACGTCTACCGACTGATAATAATAGTAACCATGGTAACGAACATCGTTAGTCCGTTGTTAGAACTAAGCAATACACACCTGTCCTGCCCTTTCCAGCTTTACAATGCACTGCCGCCACATTTCTCGAGTCGGCACTGAGCCACGAATGAACGGACTCGCAGAACGGCTGTATCAGCTCGATATTCGGCGGCGTGTGGTCTTCAAAAGCATATATTTCCACCTGAAATTTAACATAATAATTAATTTGAATCAATATTAATAACAGTGCGCCCAACAGCGTTGTCGACATGTATATGTTCATCGTGGGAATTGATATGTATTCACAATATACTTATATACAAAATTAAAAAAAAAAACGATCATTTGAAGCTTTTAAATCGTATAACGTCCCTTCCTTTTGACTTTAAACCTGTTCGTTCGGTTGCCACCAATGTAGGCAATATACCCCGAAATTTGATGATCGATTTTCAAACATACTTCCCCCTTAACCACGCACTCCCGACATAAAAAACAGCCAGTGCGCAAAGGCAATCTACTGCGGTATCGTGTGAATGTGGTTAGCACGTTCCCAGAAATTGGCTTTTGAATTCTGCATGGAAGTCTGCGGTCTACTCAGGGTATTGTGTAACAGGACATCAAGGACGCAATGACACAATGGTGTAATTTTAAATATATGGACAGAGGATTCCTCCAGCCCTTTTTAAACACTAAATTATTTTAAAAACGGAAAAAGTTGCCCATTTATGTATTTCCGCAAAAACACTGGCGAGCCTTCTGGCAATGTAAGGGCCAGTATTTAACCAAGTACTTATGTACTTGCTAATAACAACGTTTATATACAAGTATAAAATACGACACAAGAAATTAATGGCATTCATAAAACAAAAAACATCTACATCGGCTACCATACCATATTTCGCTTACATAGCAACTAAATTAAAAGAGACGGTTTATTTAATTATAATATAGGAGTTAAGAGTCTGTGGTTAAATTGTTGTTGTTTTTATATTTCAGGTAATTATAAAGTTTTTGGTTACTTATTAGTTTAAAGATTTGTTTGAAAGCTTATACATATTATAATCAGCGTTGAAGGAAACACATTGGAGTTTCATTAAACATATAAAAAAGGGCTATAAATAAATATATGTATAAAAAAACTAATGAAGTACTATATTCTCTCAACGGCGTAGAATCTTGGACATAGTCTCTGATCTTCTTTATAGAAGAAGGGGCAAACGGGACCCTCTCAATGCCGCGAGGTATTAATCCGAACAACTCCTCTGAACACTCTCCATAGTAAATGCGGTAGAAGTCGCAGAGTGAGATCTAGGTTTATACTGGGTGGCGCAAAAGTAAAGACCCTATTTGATTCAGCTATAACATTTTTTCTAAATTAGAAAACTAGATTTTGGTTTTTTTAAATGTATATTTGTGCCATTAAATTTCGTACCATTAGGATTAAAAGATGATGTCTTTTAAATGGTGACCTCCAGAGTTGTATCCCATTTGAGCCCTATTTATTACATTTTGCATAACTTTCCGTAATACTTCCTGCGATATGTTCCTTATTTCTTGATGAATGTTTTCTTTTAGAGCTGCGAGAGTCTGTGGCTTGTTCACATACACCCGATATTTCAAAAAACCCCAAAGAAAGAAGTCTGGACTCGTCAGATCGGGTGATCTTGCAGGAAATCGTCGACGAAATTCACGTTGTGTTTTTATCACTGATGAATTATTCCGTAAGAACATTGACACGATTATTCCACGTTATTGGGGAGTAAAACTTTTACATTTGTTCACTACACAATTTTCAACAACAGAATGAAAACTATCGTAAAAAATAAACAAATTTTCTTAAGTGCCAGTACTTTTGCGCCACCCAGTACAAAAAACAACTTGGACAGACCGCATACGAAATACAACCGTGATGGACAGAATGCAGAAGGACCAAAAAGTGCTTTGACGGTTAAGAAAAGGAACCTTGAGTATTTCTGACACGTTTTACTTAACACCAAATTATACGAGCTCCTACTAATAAAAAAAGTCAAAGTGGCAAGCATAAGGATAACTGGCCGCAGACACGCGTCTTGCTTGAAAAACCTCAGTTCAGTATGTCAAGGAAAAGGCATACTGCAATTACATATTCGATTAATTAAGAAAGAATGAGATCAAGTTATTTTTGGACACAATTTAAATATAGATTTATAAAACATGTTGAAAATTTCACGTCCATTACCACATTTAATTTATTTTATCAATGTTAACTGTATTCGCATATATTAACGAAATAATATATAATTTTAACTGCTATTAGTCATCATCCTACAATTACAAGTTTATTTTAGTAATATTTAAGATGTTTTTGTAAGACTACTAGCGTACTGTTCTGAGACAAAGACAACTGTATGGAAAGGACCAAGAGGAAGAAGAGGCCGCCCAAAAAAAAAGGTGGATAGAAGAAATAGAAGCGGTAGCAGGAAACGAATGGAGAAAGAGAGCCAAAGACAGAGTGAGTTGGAAAAAGCGTGAAGGGGTTCCGATCGACGGTACTGAAGGAAGCTAGGATATAGGATAACAAGCAAAAGAAGAAAAAAATGTAAATTAATCTAAGCTGTATTATTATAATTTGTTTTTGTCATGATTGGAACTAAATTTTTTAATATAAAAATAAGTCATGCTCTATTATATCATGTCATAAAAAAAGTTAGCGAAGTCACCCCAACTTATTTTATTATAATTTTCGGTAAATTTCTACCTTAAAAGAGCTCCAAATTTTTTTTTTGTTCTTTACGACTTGTATGTAGTACCCCAAGTAATATTAAGGAGGCGCTTGGCTTTGGACCCCTTAAAAAACTAATAATATTACAGGCATCATGTAAATGATTGGGGTGCCGTGATTCGCCAACTTTACCTAATTTTCTTAGCGCCATCAAATTAAAAAAAATATAATGGAAAATACCTGACACAAGGGACAGCCATCATCTTTATATAATTTAATTTATATATTTTTATCTCTATGAATAAACGTTTCGTTTTGTAACTGTAAATTTGAAGGCTGAAATACCTTATACTAAATATTAAAATTTAGATCTAAATCAAGCTTAATTTTTAAGTCATGTCCTTTTTACTCCAAATATATAAGATACTAGCAGACCGGCCAAGCGTTGCTGTGGCTAAGGTTTTTTATTATATTACATAGTAGCAAACTATTCAAGGGCAACGGTAGGGAGAACACCAGTCATGGGGACCACCATGCTTTTTTGGTGGTTATGCCATTAAATTGTAGCTTATGTGAGGTACCAACGTCCTACTCTACGTAGGACGTTGGTACTTTCAACACAGCGCCATCTGTTAGAATTGTGACTATCAAATAATAAACAAATATTTGGCAATAAAATAATATTGCGGGTATAAATTGAGATGTAAGCTATCCTATCTTGAACAAACAAAGTGACACATAATTTATGTATATTAAGATAATATATTGAAGGATATAGAATAATAGGAAGGATTAGCAGTTTGACTTATGTATGATTGTAATAATTTAAGAAATATGTTATTTGTATAAGATATAAAAACATATTTTCTCTGTACGTTTCCGTTTCATTTTTGTATTTTTTTAATTCTCTATTTTATAAGGAATTTAAAATTATTACTGTTGCTAAGGGCTACACCCCTTACTAGTGTTTTCTGTACTTTTTGTTTATATATATAATAAGCAATAATACATATAACGTTTATGTAGCTTGAAGTACATTCAGAAGCACACAAGTTGTACGAAATCAATGAAAACATACATGGCCATTGTGACTCGTGTGAAATACACTATAATACACAATAAATAGAATCTATAAAGGTACCCCCCCTTAAATAAATATTTTTTAATACATTTCAATACAATATAGGCCAGACTAATCTATACAAAACGATTTTTTTAAAATTAGATGTCGGATTAAAGGACTTTTCCCAACACGAATCAAAACCGCAAATTCATTACAACACGTAAATTTAAATTAAACCCGTCAAAATTTAAAGTTTGACTAAAGCCAATATTATCGTGACAATATGATAGAAAATTACATTAAAATTTAAATTCTTCTAACCATGACCACTTAACGCATTCCGTGGGCGTGATCCCATAAATGCCCACAAATGTCACGGTCATGTCACGGTGGGCGTACGAGAGTTTGTACATAAAATTAAGCCTGAAGCCGACTTTACAAATGAGAAATAGTAGGGACCTATTGTTTTGTACCTTTCCAATATACAATATTAAAAATATTGTTAACCTACATCTCATATATAAAATTCTCGTGTCACAATGTTCGTTCCCATACTCCTCCGAAACGGCTCGACCGATTCTTATGAAAAAACTTTTTTATTATTTTTTGAACAATTTTTATTTTTTTATGATACAGCATACAAAAATACATACAACCCTTAATTGTCACCCCTCTACGATCAACCCCTATTTTTTATTTTAGTGGATAGTTATTTTTATTAAACTAAAAAAAACGTTTCCTAGAAATAATATACATAGCAAAACGACGTCTGCCGGGTCAGCAAGTAGTAATATAAAATACATAAATAGAAAATTAAAACAATTCAAAAAGTTTGGTCCCTGTGGCAGTTTAACAGTTTAAAAGTCAAAAATCATTTATTCATATAGGTAACACAATGTACACTTAAGAACGTCAAAAAAGAAATATACATTAAATGCTTCTTATTTTACATTTACTGCCAGTTCTTAAATCAAGGGCGTAGAACGGAAAGAAGAACTGGTAATAAACTCTCCGCCACTCTTTTTAATCGCCAAGTTTTTTGTTTTACACAACGTTTGTAAGCCATACACCATGTTCCACATGACATCTTAGGCAATTAATAATAATGAAATAAATTAAAAACAAAGATTTTTCCTCTATCAGCAGGAGGCATGGTGAAATAGGAGCACGCACTTACAATCTCGTGGGAACAACACGCAAATACATAGTCGAAATAACTAACATCACCGCATACACGAATTCAAGTGCGACCAAAATGTAAAATCATACACACCGCAACTCACCGCAAGGCCCCTAACAACCCACGAAGCCCTCAAATAAAAAACCCTCTAAAAAACTCGAATACCGCACACAAGGACCCAAAACCTTTTACCTGAGCGAACCCAATTCGGGACAAAACCGGAAGTGCCTCCCACGAAACAAATAGTACCAGTTCTATTAAACTAGTTCAAACCCTTTAATATTTATGAACAATTTAATTATTTCATGAGAACCGTCTAGATGACAAGGTCATTTTTGATGTTTGACTAGACTAGACTTTGGAAATGACACAATTTATGGCTTTGTACGAATAAATTATGTCAGAATCCGCCTTATATTTAAATGTATTTAAAAAAAATTAGGTTAATACATTTAGTTATAAATGCGATAGTAACACATTTATATATAAATCAAAGCTTCCTGCATTTCACAGCAGTAAGCTAGAAACTGCCCATCTGAGTTGGTTACAATAAAGCCATAAATGCGCACGGCGGGGAATGCCCGGCACCAAAAGCGACAGGTATCTGAGGTTCAACTCACTCCAGGCACTGCGTCATAAAACCACCTTGGGTAGTTCGAACAAACCACATCAAAATCCGAAACCGGCATTTTACAAGGACCTCAGCGGTAATAAATGTCCACCATTATTTTTCTGTTTATTAGATAAATATTAAGTACAGTTACCCCTATAACGCGGTAACCCGTACCGCGTTGTAAGCCCTATTTTTGAAGTGAAACTTCTTTATCGAGGTTGGAAAAAAATTTAGTGTAACATTTTTTCGTTACGCGTCACATTTTTCGGTTACGCGCCATGTTGCTTTTTGAAGTCAAACTTCTTTATCGGCGTTGGAATGAAACTTCTTTATCGACGTATGGGAGACATTTTGTAGCAAATCGTCACGTTTTTCAATGATAGTAATAATTCTATTACAATTAATGAAATTCTATACATAATAATCTTCGTAGTAATAAGGTAATATGAAATATTTGTATTCATGTCTATGATAATAAAAGCCTTTTGTTAAACTTTATCTAATTTAACGAATTTCTGTAAAGTAAAAGAAGCATATAGTAGATCATTTTTCGAAAAATAAGATCATAAAGAAGTTTCACTTCTTACGTGTGTACACCTAGTACACGCACAATTTTTATCTTTTAACAATGCAAAAACTAGGAACACGAATTTTATAAAGTTATTTGGTTTAATTTAATAACAACACAATTGAAACAGGTGCTCAACGCAAAACGTTACTATGGACAACGTTATTATGGACTCGCCGATGTTACACTACAGACATATAACTTTAGAAAACTCTGGTTTTAGGTCTGGCCTAAGATTTATTTAGACGACTTTCTTATTCGACGTTCTTTGCCATTTTTAGACGTCTTCACTACCAATACCTTTCATCATTGGTTCTAAAACATGCGAGTTTTCTCATGGTGTCAGTGAACCAAAGTTCGTAGTACAATAACAATTACCTAATTATTTTCATTAGCCAGCCAGTTTGGATTATTCAATTGCAGTGCAATTAATATTTATGGATCTTAACCTTAAATTATTATAAAAATATAACTTGTAAATGTCTAGACTACAGTTGGACTTTAATCAAATTAACGATATTAATATTTATATCGGTGAGATTCAAAATTGACTAGAAGAGAAACGTAAAATCAAATAGCTATCGAAATACAAAATATATATTTTTTTTAATGGAAAACATTATTTGGAACAAGCTCCGTTTGAATAGTTTCTCTCTATAAAAATCGAATGAAATGAAAAACATGTTTCTAAACTCCAACAATAGCTTTAGGGTTTTTGTTTTGTAATCGGCAGGTCTGGGAATACGTCGTTATCTATTTTGTATATAAGCACGCACAATATTTCTTCAGTTTTTGTTTGTTTTTTTTTTGCAATCACAAATACATAATAGACCCTTAACTTTTCAATAGCAATATTACTAAATACAAAAACCAGCTAGTGTCTAGCTATTCAAATTGCCTAAAGGGACTCCTTTTAATATATTTAGTTATTATATTTTAAGGTTAGTTATTGTTTTTCTGTTATTAACTAAAACGTAGATCAATGTTTACGGTACTTTTTTTATAACTTGTTACCGGCTAAAAAGACAGTGGCTACACTTTTGTAGTTGTTAAGTCATTTACATATATTAATAAATGAATGACAATATGTTTTATATTACTAATAATATTCATATGTCAAAACAGCTACAGGGTCAGCTAAATATACATTGTATGGAATGCGTTCAAACTGTAAAAAAAAAATATATTTTCGACTAGTCAAACTTTTACAAAGAACCGTAAACCTTTAGTTACTAGTAATGTTTGCTAGACACTCTGCGCCCTCCAATTTCGGCCTCTCAAAAATAACGGAAAGCACAAAGCTAATGCACCGGAGCACTGAAGGCACTCAGACAATACTTCACAGGTGGATAACCCTCACTCAACCTGTAAAAATCGTTTCAAGGTCCAATTTTCACCCTTCTACCTTGTTCGGCGTTTTGACAGTTCCCTTTTGTTTAAATTTAAAAATGGAATTTTTTAGAAGCCTCTTCAAAAACTTCAACAACGCAGACTAAAAGATTGTACAGTGTCGGTTACCACATTTTTTTTTAATTTTGATGAAAATGTTTATCGCATAAAAAAATTACCAAATCAGTCTTTGGGGCCGGTTAAGTATTACGTAAGCTGATTTACTGCAATTAATCCCCCTCTTGTCAGCAAAAGTAAGTTCTCAAAAATAATAGTACATAAACGTATCAAATTTTTGTAGGAATCTTCGAAAATGCATTTCGTTTACAAGCATAGACAATGTGTGGGTAATATGTGTAAAAAAGTCAATAATTACTGTTGACGACAAAGACAATCGCTGTATTGCGATACTTATTCGTTGAGCCAGCAAAGTGCCAGCTCTGGGGTCATCGGTAAATATACCAGGCGCCAACTGAAATCTTTAATTAGCGCCTGTGCACTTCAACCCCATGGCCCAATCTCTACTCCAAAGGGAACAAAATCAAATCAAATTCTGTAATTAATTCCAAAACCTCACGACTACCATAGACAAATCTTCATCAATATAAATAAAAATACATTTCAGACTACAGGGCATTTTAAGTCAATTTAATTTAAATTTAATAGGAATATTCTCGATTTCCATACAATGTGTAAGTAGTCGCAACATAATCAAACGCTTTAATCATTCAACTGTCGCCTACGTAAGGCTTCCGAAGGCAAATAATGGCTGTATTATGGGAAGATTCCGTCCAATTATTAGTTCATTAGCGCTGCGGTAATAGGTTTTCGGTTTGATGTCTTTTAAAACCGCGTAATGTGAATAAATTTATATTTAATTTACAAATTGCTCATAGAAAATTATTGGCAATGACTAGAGTCTGGCTAATGAAAGAAGATAACGAAAATGCGCGCCAAATTCAAAAAATTTAGTATGGTATCTCTAAAAGTTTGATATATTTTGTGGATTAAACTTACTTGATACTTGATTTTATTTTATAATTTTTAAATTAAATACTATACGTACCTATTTAGTATTTTACTATTGATACTTAAAATGACTAGCATTGCATGGAAAACTAAAACTTTATTTATTATAAAACACAACTTTATTAGGAAATTCAAATCCTGCGAAAGAAACGAAATATTCTATCAAATAAAACAAAGTTTAGGCTATTATACCTGTTAACTATTCGGAAAAAATATATAATAGAAATAAAAATGAGTAATTGCATGAGGTATCAAGACAACAAATCGTAGTAACCTAAGAAATTCAATGACATTCAGAACATTTAGCATCAATCGAAAAGTCTTGACATTTGACAGCTATAATAATAATAAATCATTTATTTGCAAGATAGTGGTACATTTAGATCGATCAATTATCAGCACAATAAATATAAAAATAGGCATGCAAATGTCATACAATTTTCATTAAGTCATATAATAAGAACATCAACACAATGTCATAATAATAAGTTAAGCTAATTGTAATTGTTGTCAAACTTATGGTCCAAGTACTCGCCCACGCTATAAAAATTTAAAAATTTAATCACCTTCCCCTTGAAAGCATTACACGGCAGTGATCTATAACTTCTAGGAAGGTTTTTTTATGTTACAGGAGGCAAACGAGCAGGAGGCTCGCCTGATGTTAAGTGATACCGCCACCCATAGACACTCACATTGCCAGAAGGCTCGCAAGAGCTTGAAGGACCCTAAGTCGAATTGGTTCGGAAATACTTCAGTGGGCAGCTGGTTCCGCATAATAGTAGTGCGCGGCAGAAATTGCCATAAGAAACGCTCAGTTGTGGAACGACGGACGTAAAGGTGATAAAATAGTTTGATAGTAGACGTTTGTCTTATCTGTGTAATATAATCGAGAAAACATTTTCATGATTTGACTAAGCATCCAAAAACAACAAGATATTAAATATGAATCGAAAGCCATATATGCATGAGTACCTACCCAAATCTATATATCCTGGCTACTCGGTGTTTTTGGCCATATTAGCCAAAAAAAAATATATCTACTGATTTTGGTACTACTAATACTGCTTAAATGTGGGTATCATAAAAAACACGCACAAAAAAATTTTGGGGTGCACCATGTTTTACAGTAAATAACCTAACAGGTCGAGGTCAAGGTCTATACATGACCAGAGCAAGGCGTGTGAAATGGACAAGATTCTATATGGAAGGCCCGAGATGGGTAAATAGACAGAGTTAGACAGGTCAAGTGATGGAGGGATCATATGATGATGTGTGGACTAGACTAGTTGGCTAGAATAGAAATTATTATGAAATAGAAAATGGCCTACGTGTTTCAGGACACACTGCAAACACACACACAAATATATTGTATTGTGTTGCCGCACCACCCATCTTCTTAATATATATAAATTACGTGTCACGTTGTTCTTCCGCTATGGACTGAGGACTCCTAAACTACCCAACCGATTTCAATCAAATTTGCACACCGTGTGCAGTTTGATCTAACTTAAAAGATAGGATAGCTTACATCTCAATTTATCAATTAATCTCAATTTAATTTACACGCAAAATTATTTTATTGCAAAATATTTGTTTATTATTTGATAGTCACAATTCTAACAGATGGCGCTTTGTTGAAAGTACCAAGGTTTCAAATAAGCTACAATTTAATGGCATTATCACCAAAAAAGCATGGTGGTCCCCATGACTGGTGTTCTCCTACCATTCCCTTGAATAGGTTACTACTATGTAATATAGCTAAAACCTTAGCCACAGCAACGCTTGGCCGGTCTGCTAGTATCATATAAAAAATTACGACCTCCTGGATATACACGAAAAAACCGTCGGTTAAGCACTTTTCAGGAATTCATATAGACAAACTGTCGGGCCTTTTTAAAAATCACTGTTTTAGTCGTTCCTTCCTCATAACCGTTCGGATGCGAAACTTTCCAATGAGATTAGCATCTCAATGACAATGGACTTTGGATCTAGCAATTATAATATAAACGATAACGATTGATTCACTCAACCCACTACACTTGTTAGCATGATTTCATAAAGATTTCATTTCCATAAAAAGATAGTGTTTTTAAAGGTGCTATATTATGTGCAAGTATGTAACAAGGTTTCATTAGTCATTATTTTATTAGTCTATACTCTATACTAATATAAAGGTAATTGAGGTAATCTTAGACAGTAATTAAAAAAAAGTGAGTGCCTACAAAGTTCACATATCAGAAGTGAAACATCTAATTGGCAAACTAATTTTAAAATCTAAAATTTTGTTGCTCAAGCACGGTTAGATCCTATGACCTAACCGACCTAGGGTCGCACGAAGCTCACTTATGATGTAAATAATGTTTAAATTTAAGGCATAATTTGTCAGGTGTCAATCAGAGGTTGTGATTCAGGAGGCTTAGAGCGAAATAAGAAACCGGTATGTCAAAATCCAAAACGTCTAAACATTATCTCAGTCTTATCCCGCCCATGTTAGTAAAATAAATTTGCAACAATATTTTTTTTTATGGCTCTGGCACGGTTTGTGCATTAGCCAGCGTCAAGTATAAGATTTTTATAATTCGTGCTTTTTGCCTTAGAAATTCGACCATGTCCTTCATGTACGATTTAACCAGCCGAGAACAAATTTAAATTAAATTAAAACTTGCCCTCGAACCGAGAATCGAACCCGGTACCCCTCACCTAGCTGCCACTTAATAAGACCGCTAGGCTATGAGGCCCCTATTTGCAACAATATAGATAGAAAAATCAGGCGCTCAAACGCCCGGCAGGTGATTTTGAATCGCCAAACCACTAATAAACAAACAAACTGTACAAACATCACCTGTCCACATATCCCTAACATTCGTACTGACGTGAGACTGATCTAAAATTATCGTGATTCATGTGCACTTTTTATTTTTCATCTATCCTTTTTTTAGTTTAGTTTTGTCTTAATAACATATGTATTATGTATTTTTGCACTTCTTGCTTACCTTATCTAAATTAATACATTATTTTTCACAGTGGTGGCATAAAAGAGGTCCGGCTTAAAGGCCGCCAGTTGCCCTCCTATTCATTTAATTATGTTAATACAACGAAGTGTTAATAGATAAATAAACGTTGTAAATAGAACAATATACCAAGTAAAACGCTCACACTACGCGGAAACATCCTTATTCATCTGCGGTTGGGAAAATAGGCAATCACGCGACAACTAAATGGAATAATAATCGCAAATCGAATTCTAAACGCTTGCGGTTTAAGGTAAATTTAATTAATATATGTCCTTTTTGTCCTTATAAATTCGAAAAAAGCACATTTTTGAAAACGTATTCTGTAAGTTGTGAATGTAAGATCCTTATTACTAAATTTGGTTAGATTAAAATTAGTAAAAGCAATGGTAGCCTTTGTGACTTCAGCGTGCGACTCTCATCCCTGTAGGTTCGATTCCCGGCCATGCACCAATGGAGAACGTGGGGAAACCGGCATGGCCGAGACCAAAATAGTCGAAGGTGTGTGTCAATCTGAGGCCAAGACCTAGGGCTGTAGCGCCACTGAATTATTATTATTAAATAACTAGGGCTAACTCAGTGAAGAGACTAAAAAAAACAGTCATAAGTTAAAACTAATAGACAATATTTTACTTGCATTAGCCGAGTACATAAGCAAACAAACAAATTTTACAACAATTACATTCACGTGTTTCGTGTAACTCGTAAGTCAATAAGAATTATTTTTCTTCTCTTCAAGGACTTTTAGTCATCAGAAATACGTTAAAGTAGACGAGGGTACGTATTTAGCATATATTCGTCATAATGAGGGTAGGAACATGCAGCTGAGTTTCATCAGAATACGAAATTCCACCCGTATCACCTCGACGTCTGTCGTTCCACAAGCGTTTTTGAGTTTTTGCCACGCACCACCACTATGTGGAACCAGCTGGCCACTGAAGTATTTCCGAACCAAATCGACTTAGGGTCCTTCAAGAAAAGAGCGTACCAATTTTTAAAAGGCCGGCAACGCACTCGCGAGCACTCTGGCATTGAGTGTCCATGGGCGGCGGTATCACTTAACATCAGGTGAGCATCGTGCTCGTTTGCTCCCTATTCTATAAATAAAATCAGTTGTCTTCTCTCTTAATTTATTAATAAAGTTATTATTATTAAATCCAGATAGCTAGACATAGCTTCGAATAGTGCAGTTTGCCCGATAAGCGGCCATCTGCAATCACCCTAAGCGTCGGCTGATAAGCTATCAGCGTTATCATGAGGAAGGGCACTCAGGGCGACGGTTTGTCTACATTTTCACATTGGCTAGACTGGTCTATATAAAAAAATAAACGGCTGGAACTAAAAATATATAGTCTGATCACCAAAAATACTATTTACTATATACTTTTACACACAAATTTTCCAAGACTTCTTTACTTCCACTATACATTTTTACTATTATTATTTTTTCTACTCTTATTATTACATTCTTTTTTTTGCGTCTGAGGCGCCAACTAATTTTTGTAGTCTCTGGCAGAATGACCAGCGCTGTGGAACAGTCTGCTACACAGCATTATGCTGAGTCAGAGCCAACAACAACCAGAACAGACACAAACACATTACACACTTAAAATATATCTTATTTCTTTTTTTTTCTTTTTTTTTGTAATTTTTACATTTATTTTACTATTTTACTATTTTTTTGTCTGTGTGTGTTTCATTAGTAATAATAAATGTTGTCTATGTTCTAATAAAGACAAATTATCTAATACAGATCATCATCGCTGATATTGTCACTGTAGACTGCATTTTCAAGTGAACAGAATTTAGGACATTTCCTTTCATCCCTGTTCGATTCAATATTACTTTATCAAAACTCAAAATAAAATATTAAACAACTTTTCCGTTTGTTTAATACCTTCTTCAGACAAATACGCTGCACATCTTCGTGACGTTCCGTCAAAATTTTAAAGAAATTTCACTTCAATATGCATTTATTGTATACATAATCAAAATAAACTGGACACAGTTTTTCTGTCCACCGGGACGTCAGATTGAAAACTTATATATACTTATATAGGCACAAACCCATACAAGATAATATAGTGTGTTAATTTGTTAATTTATATAAAAGTGATATGAGGATCTGATTATATTTGTATGTCGGCGCCAATCAATCATTATCTTAATCTAAGTCAATATATGTTGATGAAGCATCATAAGTATGTGTTCACAGCAAAGGTTCATTTAAAGATAAGATCAACACTAAGAGCAAATGGAAAGAAGTATACTAGATATAAAGAAGATATTGAGGCAGGCAACGCACTTGCGAGACATCTGTCAATGTGAAACAAACGGGCTCACCTGTTGTTAAGTGATACCCATGGACACTCTCAATGCCAGAGGGCTCGCGTTTGCGTTGCCGGCCTTTAATCTATTACACCTTTGAAATGCATCTACGGACGGGGGTTAGTTAAAATCAGATTAGGGTAAAACACCGCCTTCACCGGGGAAGGCGTGGACTATTACTTCGTACTTCGCTTACTCCAGTGAGCTTCCGTCCTGCCCTTCAGGCGATTGACCACCCCGACGGCCCAAGCCGAGGTCCGAGTCTCGCAGGAGACGCCCTTGCGTAAGTCGCGGGAAAATGCTCATTCCGACCAAGCTACACTCGCCAAAAAATATCAATACATTTAACAATATAGGCTCCACCATCACGTGAATGTCGAGGCTATTCAACTCCTTGACACCACGGGCCTAGTGAGAAGACTTAAAAGGACAAAACCATTTGAACTAGTGAATTAGTATTAAGTGCTACAAGGTGACTAAAAAAATAGAACACAAGAACAGACTGTCTTCCCTTTAATAGAGACTGTAAGTAGTGTTATTTGGACACTTTCTTATTCTAAATATCCTTTTTAGTAAATTAGGTTAGACTTAAATTAATTATTAGTCTTAAGTTAGGCTAGATTGTAATGCTCCATGATGTCTTAGTAAATACACATGTATAAAAAAATACATTAAACAAAGTGGTACCTAATTTGGCTGTGTTGTGTGATAGTGTAAAAGTGAGTGTAAGTACGTGAATGTGTATGTGGGGTATGCTCTTCATTTTTTCGTGGCCCATTCTCCGTCGGGTTTTACAAGACTATTTATTTTATTACATATTAACTTAGCTGCCTATTTCAAACTGTCGTATTTATTCTGAATTATTAGTTTCACAGTTAAATAGATTCCCATAAACGTTATTCACCAAAAAACCTTATATGACCCATAAATAAGCGTTTATAAAGAGTCAAGTACAATACAATACTCGTAGATAAATGCTAAACCGGTTTTGATGCGACCGAAAGCCTGTTCAAGCGGTTGAGGAATTTTGAATGTTCGTCTCAAAAGTCCTGTGATTGTTTGTTTTTATTATTTAGTTTGTATGCGACTGACGCACGAATTTTGTATCTTAGGGTAATATTAGACAACATAGCGCCTCTATATACCCTTATATGTTAAAAACTTATTTTGAAATAAGCATATGTACTAGTCTCCACACAATGTATCCTTCACCAAATGACCAAAATTAACACGTAAAATCTGGAGAATTATTTAATCAAGGTAATTTAATGAGCAGTGTTGGCCTAGTGGCTTCAGCGTGCGACTCTCATCCCTGAGGTCGTAGGTTAGAGTCCCAGCTGTGCACCAATGGATTTTATTTCTATGTACGCATTTAACATTCGCTAGAACGGTGGAGGAAAACATTGTGAGGAAACCGACATGTCTTAGACCTAAAAAGTCGGCGAGTGTCAGGCACAGCAATCACCTACTTACCTATTAGATTGAAAAAATGGAAACAGATTCAAAAATCTGAGGCCCAGACCTAAAAAGATTGATTAATTTAGTTTTATTTTTAATTTGACGGCACGTGTTATTACGAGGTTCAACGATAAGTTCAAGCAAGGACGTCCTTTCTTATTAACGATCTAAAACGGATATGCAAGGCAAATATTTGTTAATACAACACGAGATTTTTTAATCACTCGGTAAAATAATTTGTTTAAAGAACTTTATTATCGTTAACAAATCCATGAGAACTTTAATTGCCATCGGCAAGTTTTAATTTTTAATTCTGACCTTAGATGTCGGCAATGCCTCTTGATTTATTAAATCCCTTAACATTTATAATACTAATCAATTATACAATTGCACACCTACTTAGTTTTTTCATTTCATAATTTATGTACGCAGTCGGCTTTTTATATAGCATAATATTATATACAGTGTATACTCGTTATAATGTCATTCGTTATAACGACAAACTCTCTAACCCAATACCCATACATTAATTCTTCCCTCCCTCTAACGAAAGCTCTCTATAACGAATAAAAATGCTGGTTCCCTTGAAATTCGTTATAAAGTGTTTACACTGTATATTGCCAATGTATATGTCACCTAAAAACACCTTGATTGTATCTATCTCCAATTGTAAACTGTGAAATTTAACTCAACTACTCTATTTACGTATTATTATTTAATTGTAATCTTCGTAAACCGTCATGTGAAACGGCCATTTTTCTTTTCTATTGGTTATAGTGATGTGAATTCTCGTTTTCTATTGGTTATAAGTGATGTGACATTCTCGGTAAATTAATCGGATCGTTTTTCTATTTGTTATTTTTAAAGTTGAACCTATCAATCATTATTTCCTCATTTGTTAATTTTAAATTTAAACCTAATTTAACCATTACATTATTCATGTTTCAATTAGTAGAACCCTACACTAATTGAAACATGAAGTTAATGTAATATATGTACATTTGACAGGAATGTCACATCTCTTATAACCAATAGAAAAGTAGGAAATGGCCGTTTCACAATTTGGTTTCACTTCGATAGATTACAATCACAATACGTTAAATTGTAAGCGGTACGCTGAGGTTCACAATCTTTCGACAGTTTATAATCTCGCGAGATAGATTACAATCTAACGGTTTTTACAATTTTACGTTAACATATATACTGAATTCATTTGAGTAATTCATTAACTCCTTGGAAACTATTTGACCCAGAACTCCATTTTATAGAATGAACTGAGTGGCAAGACTTTATTCTATATATTATATACCTAAAATAAAAAATCCCATAAAAATAAATCAATCAAACAACATTTTTTAGGTCTGACCTCAGTTTGAGTCTGTTTCATTATCATTTGTTTATCTAATAGGCAAGTTGGTGATCAGCCTTCTGTGCCTAACGCACGCCTTCGACTTTTTGGGTCTACGGCAAGCCGGTTTCCTCACGATGTTATCCTTTACCATTCGAGCGAATGTTAAATGCGCATATTGAAAGAAAGTCCATTGATGCACAGCCGGGGATCGAACCTACGACCTCAGAGATGAGAGTCGCACGCTGAAGCCACTAGGCTAACACTGCTCTAAATTATATATACCTACTATGACCAAATAATATTAAAAGCGGGTGCGTAACGCCCTTTATAGGCTTTTAACTAAACGTAACTACGATTCACTTGTGTCTACTGAGAACATAATAACATTCTGTGTCTGGCCAGAAAATAGTTACAATTCCTTCAAATATTTTTACTTTTAATATTTTTTTTTCCTAACCCATTCTCAAAAGTTACATCATAAAAGAATTTCTTACATTTTACAGTCAATCTCATGTAATTACTGCAAGTCATGAATCTCATCACGTCGCGGAAAATAATTAACCACTTATCTCTATCCATATAAAATCCTAGGAATATGATGACGATATATTGATGCAATAAATGTGCAATTCTAACATATCTATTCCCCAGAGCTGGTGCTTTCCTTAACGAATAAATATCGCAATACAGCGAGAAAATGCTGCCAGCGTTAAAGGAACACTGCCACAGGGAGCAAACTTTTTAATTTTCTCTTTATTTTTAATTATTTTTATTATTACTATATAAATATACACATCTTATATGTTTAATCTAGGATTGGAGACTCGAAATCAAAATACAATTGGAATAGCTTTTGTTAAAAATAGCAAATATCTATTGCTACTTTATAGAGATCAAACTATTTCATCACTTTCCCAAGAAGTTACGGAACACCGTCTTCTTTAAAAGAAATATAGATTTTTAAAAGGCCAGAGTCTCTACAAAATGTGGAAGTCCATAGGCTATATTCTTCAGCCCAGACATGCAACGTCATTTAAGCTATCGCAGAATATACTTAAAAGCAGTAGTAAGAATATCCATAGCGCTAAAACCCACATACACCCCATCATAACACATCCGAATTTGGTATTACTCAGTTAAATGTATTTAAAAATTTGTATTATTGTTTTCCTTTCGAATGTGTGAACCTTTTTGTATGTATTAAGTATTCCATCTTTGGCTAAATCTCTATTATAATTGTTTTTTGTTATATATAATTTATATAAGCTGTCTCTCTCTTTAATCGGCAGCTCATGTCTGACCGTCGTGGTCTTCAAGCGGACTATCTGCTGCTTCCACCGGTTTCGGACCAGAGCGTATCTTTCATACACACACAGTTTTGAGGACGATGAGTCTTTCACTTGATCGGTGCATCTGGTGAACGGCCACGTGATCTTTTGCCTTCTGTGTTACCAACCACGATCAGTTTCTCCAAGTTCTCTCATCTCATGTTGTATAACATAACAGAACTTAATATAGTAACATTAATATGTTAGCTGTAGGATTATGAAATTAAAATTCTAAGGTAATGAATTGGACAATGATATATTTTGGTGTAACATAGCAATATGAGTCACATGATATATTTATACCTAATTACTTTTGCCGCGCTTGTCAACCATTAAAACATTGAATGCATTTTTTTATAAAACAAATCGACACAATTATCTTCCATTGTTTCCGTGCTACCATTTTAACATATGACTCACAATGTTAATATAATGTAGGTACGTGTCGCACGACATATTATATAACATTACTTTATGTCCGCGACATCGGTCAAAATATATCCAAACAGTAAATCAAACATTTCCTTTGATTTTTGATTCCATAATATAGATTTTTGTAAAGATCTACTTTTTTTATTTTAATTACACTTCGTTGCAAGAAATACAGTACAATTAATATAGGGTAATCGTTTTCGAGCGATCTCTCGTAAAATTTTGTGAGCATATCGGTTAGGTCTGCGAATGTAGACAATTTTTGTTTGTTATTACAAAAATACATACAACCCTTAATTTTCACCCCTCTTCGATCAAACCCTATTTTTTTATTAAAAACTTATGGCTTGAACTCAGGTTTATATATATATATATATATATATATAGAAAAGTTCACAGAAAAACCTAAAAAGTTTTCATTCCGAAAAACCAAACAGTCTCTGGGATAGCATAGCAAAATGTTCCATGTTGGTATGTACTAAACAGGTACGCTAAGTACAATTTATTTTTATTTTTTTTTTCCGTGGGGAAATGCGTTACGCATACCCTCCCGCGGCATGGTTGACCTGGGGAAGGGTGATGTGGGACTCGCTGTTGTGCATACCCACTAAAACCCCACGGCGCCACCAGCAATCGCCCGTGGCAGGACACGGTAACGGCGTAGCCTTGTCCGCATCCAGCCACGCGATCAACCGTTATTATTACGGTCCTCTACGGCCACGAATGATGTGGAATGGACCTTGGCACAGCAAGGGCCTTTCACATCGGCCACTTCATCCTGTTTTATAGAGCTGGGGGAGGCCGGGTACAATGCTTGCAGGGATGCATTAGCATCCCTTCTTTTGGACGCATGAGCCCCTGTTCCCCCGCTGGAGCAACTGCGTGCCCAGGATTACACACGCTAAGTACAATCACATTAAGGAGAAACAAAGTTCGCGGGGGCAGCTAGTAAGATATACAATCAGTTAGACATATAGAATGGAACATAACAAACCAACTAAAACATAAAAAGGACAATAAGATATATATATATATATGTATAAATTAATAGATAACGTTTAAATAAATATAAAAATAGATATATTTCGTTTTAAATCTCTTATCATACAAACATCCATTAAAAAAATCTATTTTAAAACTATCACAAAAATACCATTACTAATTGAAATGTGTTCACGTTTGTCATAATTATTAATCAATTTTATACGAAACAAATATATAACAGTGAATTAGTTAATTTTCTAGTCTAGGAAAATAATACGTAAACACTGAAGGTTATTTCGGTTGCTATGCGGAGATGTGATAGTCACGATTTTTAACGTTAATTTATCCCAAGAAATCTTATTATTCTCAAATTTCAGCAAATTTGAATAATTACCAGACAAAATTAATTTATTAATTTTCCTTGGACAAAGAATTAGTCTAGCAATTCAAAGAGGGAACGCTGCCAGTATCTTCGGAACCTTGCCTGAAGGGACTCTTTTTAATAATATATTTTAGTTATTATATTATATTTGTTAAGGTTTTTAGTTTCAGATTCAAAGAATGTGATTTTTACGTTGCTTAATTAATGTATAAGGAATTGAATTAAATTGAAAATTAATTTACAAGGAAATTCCGCTATCATTAATACCCAACTTATTAAATTAATTTTAGTATTTAATTGTATTGTTATGTACAATATGTTTTGTATATTTGCATATAGTGTTCTACTATATGTAAGCAATTGGCTGTGCCAAAAATTAATCTGGAATTGTATAGGAAAGACACCTTTTTTTTACCAAAAACAATCAGACTATTAGAGTTTTTAAAAATCAACTTAATTTATTACTTTTGGATAAAAAAATATTCTATTTATGATTATTTGCGTGAAACATTATAATTAATATTAATATGATAACGTAATAATATATTTTAATAATATTATATTTTATCACTACAAATAATATAAGAATGTATCACTGCAAAAATATGACTCATAATGTATGTCACTTATATGTAAAATTCCTTTGAAGAGAAATTTGCACGCCATTATGTGTGGCAGAATATGCAACTTTAGATTTCTGTACTATTTGTTAAAAAAAATATTATTATTATTATACCAGTCTAAGGCTACGTAGAACCCCTAACGTATATTAATAAATCTTATGATTAACATATTTCTGCAATATTCGAATATTTACCACACAAAATGAATTTACTTAATAAGGAAATGCCGCTAGAATTAATGCTCTATCGTTGGGTCACAAGTTTTTACATAAATTTTAGTGTATAATTACATAACAGTAATGTTGAGTATATAAATATACAGTAATATTTTAGTTAATGGCTATGTAGAAGCGCTAACTTAATTAAAATTTTATGAAAATATTTTTTCCAAAATATTCTAACTATACGGACACTGAAATATCAAGAAATAGGGTTGGATCGTAAATAGTTGTATGTTTTTTCCGTATTACAATTCACTTTAAATTTAAATTAACTTGACAAATAATCTATTTTATTAAGGAATAGGTATTAAGAACGAAAAAGTTATTTTTATTATGTAAATGAATTCTTCTAATTTTTTAACCATTATATTATAAACTTGGCATGTTAAGTATATCCGTGGTCTCTGCCTACACCTTCGGGAAAAAGCCGTGATGATATAAATAAATAAATATTCAATAAGTAACATCAATTATTAAGACAGCATTTTTACACTTATTAACGTCAAACCACAGACAAGAACTGTCAAATCACAAGCCACAGATAAATAAAAACAACTTACCCTATCATGAAACTTCGTAGAGTCGTACTTTCTCTCGCTGCAGAGGTTATATATCTTGTAGTGATCCTTGTGCATCTGCTCCAGAAACCTGTACACCTCATCAATGTGATTCCGGTACACGCCCTCCAACTTCTCCGCTGGGAAACCCATGGCTATCAGCCTGTCTGTTATATCTGATTGTGCATATAGGAAACAAATTGTCCACATATAAAAGAGAGGGTTTACATACAAAAAAAAACATACAATATACTCCTGGAGTGGTGGGAAATGTATTTCAGGAGCCTCCCAGTTTATTGTGAAGGAATATGTGTGCGTCTACAATGGTTGTGTAGGTGTGAACTGTTTTTACGCCGCGATGCGCAAGTCAAAAGTCAAATATCATTTATTCATATAGGTAACACAATGTAAATTTATGAACGTCAAAAAAGAAATATACATTTAATGCTTCTAATTTTACATTTACTGTCAGTTCTCAAATCAAGGGCGTAGAACGGATAAAAAGAACTGGCAATAAACTCTCCGCCACTCTTTTTAATCGTCAAGTTTTTTGTTTTACGTTTGTAAGGAGTGGCAACCATTACACCATGTTCCACATGACATCTTAAGTAATAAATAATAATAAAATAAATTAAAAAAAAAGATTAGTCCTCTATCAGCAGGAGGCATGGTGAAATAGGAGCACGCACTTACATTCTCGTGGGAACAACACGCAAATACATAGTCGAAATAACTACATCACCGCATACACGAATACAAGTACGACCAGTCACCACAAGTGACAGCAAGCGAGCTGTATCTCTGGTAAAGCGCGTGCGGGGAAGCCCTAAAATCATGCTGGCGGTAATAACAGGTAGGCCGGGTTTCCCTTACATGGGTCATTGCATTGGGCTGCATGCCTTTTTAATTTCATGATTTAATATACTCTAAGGTACCTAATGATTTAATAACAGAAAACCATAGGTTGTCTGATTGAATAAAGAAATAAAATGAAATATTAATTTATAAGATTTTTTATAAATATAAATAATTATGTACATAAGACAGTCGCAAAAAAAACTTTTTAACAAAACGTATGATAGAAGACAGGCGACCAGACCCGGTGCTTTCGTCGCTCAACGAATAAGTATCGCAATGCAGCGAGGAAATGCTGCCAGCGTTGTCACAGACACCAATCTTTTTAAATTTGTTTATATTTTCTGTTAATTTTTTTACTAATTATTACTATGTAGGTTAAGAAAATTGTAAATACTGTATATTTGTGTACTTTAAATTATTGTTTATAATAATTTACAGTACCTTTATATATATAATTCTTCTGTGAGTGTGTATGTCACTGAACTTCTCTCAAACGACTGGACCGATTTTGATGAAATTTTTTGTGTGTGTTCAAGATCTGGGAATGGTTTAGATTCACAAATCAGCCCGGCAGATGGCACTGCAGTCGGTACTTTCATACTTTGCTTAATATCCTAATCGCTTTAAATATCATGCAGGACAACGTCTGTGGGGTCCACTAGTACTATATAAAATTTATCAGCTCAGCCAACTTTCCTGCTCACCTCTCTGTCCGACAGTATGTGGCATTTTATTATTCAATACCATTGATATACAAAAAACCCAAGATGCACAGTCTCGAATAAAAGTAACGCTCGAAAGTGTCCCGAAACACTATTTCTGTCCATAACAGTATATGTTACAAGCATATATTATTGCAAAATCAACCTTACGCGAATTGCTTAAAGTTGTTATTACAACGCAGTGTATACGTACTTAAAGCAATAAAATTTTACGACCGACCGTGGTCGGTAGGACAAGGTATTGAGTGGAGTCGAACATGACTTTTTTATTTACAACTATTTAACATAATTTTAAATTTATCCGACTTTTCGGGTGCTTTACAGCGTGAGTGGTCACGGTGACTGAAGACAAAAGGTGTTGGATGTTAAATAGTTGTAAATTTATAATAATACATAACATTAATCCGGTTAAAAAGTTTTTTCTTTAAATTAAAAAAAAATGTTAAATTGGCTACCTCCTGAGCCACACTTTATATAGCGTAAATATATTTGTCAAAAACTACACAAAAAAGTTCAAGAGTACATAAATTTATTTATAAAAAAAACACAAATAAATAACATCGACTCCACTTATAGACGCGAGACTATTTGAAATGAGCGCACAATTTAGAATGTTGCGCTCATTTTTTGAGGACGTTTTTTTGACGTTGAGTGTGCATCTTGGGTTTTTTGTATATCAATGTTCAATACGTTAAAATTACATCGTTAAGCTGTCATATTTACAATATAATAATTATACAATTGCACAGTATTTCAAGGTTTCGTAATGAGTATAACACATTGATAACTTGTATTAATCTCGTTCGCCTCGCTCTTCACAAAAATTCACAACTCTAGGACAACTAGAACAGTCTATAGCAGTAATAAGTATTTTATGCTAGTCTTTTTTTTTAGCTATTATATATAGAGCTCAGATTGAGGCCTCCCTAGTAGGTCAAAGACGTGTGTAATATTTAAGACTATTATATGAAGGACCAAATGAGGCTTAGTAATTATTATTCTATAGCCTATGTTCTGGCATGTATATTTACATGTAAGTGTAAAAGAATTATCTGCGTAATTCGCCAATAGTTCCGGTTTTCCGGTTCCGGGCTAACTATGACACACAGTTTTTTTTTAAATAATAAGTATTCACTGTCGTTTGTTCAGGGTTATTTTAATTTTCTTTCTTTTGCCTGTTAATGTATATTGTCTAAGTGTTTTGTTTTATAATATGGATATGAAGTTGTAAGATTACTTATAAATAAATAAATAAATTTTTCAAATCAGTTAAGTAGTTTTCAGCCTATTCAATGCAAACAAACAGTCAATTATTCTGTAATATTAGTGTAGACTACTGTACACGGAGAGGCGTTTCATGGACTTTAAACATACAATTGTCTATTAAAATATTTATAAGGCTTAATCTTTTCGCCTAGACACATTAAAAGAAACCTATTAAAATTTAAAATAAAAATGCATTCTTAATTAATACGAGGATTATAATTAAGTTTTTCCAACCAAGACCTCGTCACGATTAAAGGAAAAACAGATATAAATTCACACATTATAAGAATAACCTCGTAACCATAGCAACACTGTATCTATAATCCACGTTTTATAATACTGCCGCGTACAAACGCTTGCAAGTTTTGCTAAGTTTTTGTGCATTGGTATTTTATATTCAACACACGTAAATAACGTCTTTATTGCTTTATAGTAAAATCTATTTTATTATCCGCAAAATATAAATTTATGTTACTTTAACATTGGCAAACATTTAATTTTTAATGAAACCAACTTCAAATACTTATCAAAGGAAAAAAAAATAACAATATAATTGACTGCCATTATATACATGTAATAAAATTATATTATATTAAATTAAATCAAATGTGTATTAATTATAATTAATATTAAATCCACAAATTGCATGAAAATAAATTGACGAATATAATTGGAGATAAATGGCCTTCACGTAGAAATGTAAAATTAAAGTATCGCAGACTCACATATATATATGCCCCATGCCCAAACATATACTTACCAACCAAAATTAAACATTAATCTAAAGACTTGCAGTTTTAAATTACATTAACTGTATAATTATTATTAAGTTCAGTTTCCGATCACCCACCGTCTGATTAATTTAACATTCGACCCACTTATTCATTACAATCCTTATATATAACTTAAAACAGCTATACAGTAATTCCCCTATAGCCCGGACCGCGTTATAGGAAATCGCGTTGTAGGAGTATTCTCATAAAACCGTTTTTTTATACAAAAACTAGGAACAAAAATTTAATAAAATTATTTCGTTTAATTTTCTAACAACACAATGTACTTGACAAATCATTATAAATGTCACACTACAGAAATATAACTTAAGAATATCCGCGTAATATGGGAGACGAACAACGTCGTTATAGGGGGGATAACTATATTTAAGACGAATTGAAAAATCCGTTTTAAAGTTAATATATCTTTATTATTTCTATCGTATCGTTGCAGTTGAATACAATTTCCTTGTAAACAAAAAATATATATATAAAAGAGAGGCGGAGAGTTTTTTGCCATGCTCGTCCGCCCTACTGCCTTGTTAGGGAACTCAAGTAAATGTCAATAGAACCTTCCATTTTTAGTTTCACCTACGCCACAACCAGGGGAACAGCTTGCCGTTAAGGAATTAATACTTGAACTTGAAAAAGCAAAGATGGAAGCTTCCCATTGAAAGCTACAATCACATGACACTCTGCAATGAGTCACTCGCGGAAGGCATTTCTAAATTGTTATAATAACGCTATTATATGTTTCTACATAAAAATTCAACATATAAATTCTTAATTTGTTATAATTACTTATTAAATAATTTATATTTTTTGCATAAATTATACACGTGCGAAGCGAAATCTGATAACAAAAAATGTGATGGCAGATCTTTAATTTCATCTTAATTTTGTTTACAGTTACTCAATGGTTTCTGGGCGGTTTATCATTATTGAGACTGGACACAGCGGAATATAGTAGGTCTACAAATATCTATTCAAAGTCAAAATCATTTATTCATATATATATATATATATATGAAATAGATTCTAATTACATTACTCATTCTCATCAAGCTAGAACGGTGACAAGAACTGCAATAAACTCTCTGCCACTCTTTTAATCGCCAAGTTATTTGTTTTACACAACGTTTGTAAGGAGAGCAACCATTACACCATGTTCCACATGAAATCATAAGTAATTACTAATAATAAAATAAATTAAAAATAAAGATTAGTCCTCTATCAGCAGGAGGCATGAAATAGGAGCACGCACTTACATTCTCGAGGGAACAACACGCTAATACATAGCCGAAATAACTAACATCACCGCATATATGAATTCAAGTCCGACCAGTCACCACGAGTAGCACCATTTCACGAGTATGACGCATGGCCAGCCATCGGCCCCCTCGCCATATTTTAGGGTGAGAGACAACCCGATGCATGGACGCCGCCACAAGCAATGACATTTTATTAATTTAGAAGATTAGGAAATTTCTTAATGTGTACAACAACAAGAGTCGGGGACATTAGGAAATTTATTTAAAAAAATAATACTAATGCCGACTTTCTAACACACGACCACACACTTCTACGTTCGACGCATGCGCAATGGCTTAAAAGCGTCGCACAGCCTACAATCGCTGTCCTCGTCTGATAAATGATGTTACGCGCTAACTCTCTTTCACTCTACCTTAAATATTTATTATCTTTAACAGCCAGTAGCCCTTATTTGCGGCCAGATTTAATTAAGCAACTTTATATGATAATTAATAGAAAAAAATTAGCTTCAATTTGACATATAATTAATAAAAATAGGTTATAAACGTATAAATTTATCGAAATCATACCTGTTTACACCTGGCTGCAAAGAGGTGCGGCCAGGTGAGCAACGGCACCCTTGATTTTTTAGAATCTTCATATTAATTACCGTGATGTAGACGTTATTTTATTTAAAAAATAAATAAACGAAATTTTTTACCAAAAATCAATTAAAAATAATGGCGGCCAACTTTGATAGGCACCCTAGTAAATATATATTCTCTTAATTATAAATAAACATAAAAATTTGGTTTTAAACAAATAGTCGATGAGCACACCAATCCTGCAGCGGGATCTTAGACCATGTGTTAACATTGCTCATATAAGACCAAAGTAAAATTACATAATCTCGTGAATTTGTTCCTTTAAATTGTATTTTAATAGAAACTTTAAAAATACCTTTAAAAGTTAAATGTAGTAGATAAAAATAAGGCGACGCCGAAACAGCACAGTTGGCAACTTGGCAAGGGACGAAAAGTGCATTAATTTTAGATGTTTAAATTTGGTTAAAATATTAAAATGTATTCGTGCCAAAGTATGCGAGAAACATAAGGTCTCATGAGAGATATTCCGTAGTTGCACTTTTCATTTTAATTTTAAATTATTCGGGAACTTTGATCTAATGTGTAGAGAAGCGCTTTGAAACCGACTGGTTCTGTCAAAATTCCGCCTGTCAAAAACTAATTAAATTTGACGTACAGTGTCCCAAAGCATAGTTAATAAGATTTGGCCTCATTTTAAAATTACACTGGAGTTACGACGGACATATTTCACCAATTTGGATAAAATCAGATCTAATCTTATAATAATTTTAATATTACCAGTTTAATTATATTTAAGAAAACTCGCTTGCCTACCATCCGCCTACAATGCATCGCCCTCCGCCATTTAATACCCAAAAGCGCTAATAACTCCGAACGTGGCAACACTGATGGCAAAATACCGTGTTCACAAACAATAAAGAGAGAAAAACTATGACTAAATTAAATTCATAAAAATTTAAATTCACATACACATTTAATCTTAATATATATAAATCTCGTGTCACAATGTTTGTCCTCAATGGACTCCTAAACTACCTAACCGATATCAATCAAATTTGCACACCATGTGCAGTTCGATCCAACTTGAGAGATAGGATAGTTTAAATCTCAAA